CTTTCCACCCACTTGAGTTTGGGAAGCACCTCAGGGCTGATCCTCCTTCCACTGTTCTGAGAGAAGCAGACAATAAAATCACAAAGATCCAGGAAATCGAGGCCAAAGCACATACTTCTTAGATCTCCTGGCCTGATCTCCAATAACCTTTTTCCCACTCAAGCTTTATTAATGGTTCATAAATATGCACTGCCTCTCATGTTTATGATTTAATCAGATTCAATTCTGGGACATACACCCTCTCACTGAAAGTACCTGAGGTGACTCGGCATCTTGTCAAACATTCCGGTCAATTTTACTCCAGTAGCCCAATGAGAGAGGTACCTGGGCTGGGGTGCACATCCTTTACACTCTGAAAGGCTTCTTTAGCTGTGTGCAAAGTTGTGTTTTTTTAATTTCCCTGTTACCTGGACACTATTTTTCTCTTCATGCCACATTTTTGTCTGCGTAGACCTTTCCTGAGCACATCTTCCAGGGATCTACCGTAAGGGTAGGTTGTTTTCTTTTACAGTTGGATGTACACTTTGCAATTATTGCCACAATCATACACAATAGCTTGGAATTATTTATCCCACTGTAACAGGGGGACCTGAGTGGACCCTGTCTGATGAAAATACCACCCACCTTTCTTGGCTTCCTCTAGGTCCTAGTACTATTGTAGATAGGTAAGTTAATTAAATATCTTGTAGGCAGTTAAACAGGGCTGGCTGTTAAGGAGCCCACATGGAGGAGAATTGACACATTCAGTGAAGGCCAGCATTGTAAAAGCAGAGAAACTACAACACCTGAGGCAGTGATTGATATCCTAAATAGGTATCAATCCCCTGGTTGAGGGGAACCAAGATCTTCCAGGAAAGTCTCCTTTCTTGAGGGTGAGGTACCAGGGATCGAATCAGGAAAGATTCCTGACCCACTTCTTACCTGTGTTCATTCCTTGTACACTTGTTACATGACTTGTTTCCCCATTTCATCCCCATTTAATCAATATTACCTAAGGGACTATACTTCTACATCTTATTGGATGATCATAGTTTTATCCCACCTCATGTCCACCGTGTGATTTCTCATTGGATCAATATTACCTCAGCGACTCTACTTGAAATTTTACTATGACTATACTTTTATCCCACCTTGAACCCACCTCACCTCATGGCTTTGACCCATAAAACACCTCTTGAGAAGCAAGGTAGGTGGGCAACCCATTTTCCAGTCCCCCTTCTGTCTCTCTTAGACAGAAGCTATCTTTCAGTAAATTTTTCCTACTCTTAACCTCCATTGTTCCTAGAATTCATTCTTCGATTTTAGAGAACATAAACTCACATTTCAGGTTTGGGAGTTACTTCTATTCCTCTTGTATCAGTATTAGAATCATTTGTGTTAGATAAAAGAGCCGAAAAACCAAGACCAGACCAGGACTACAACAAGCCTTTATTGTAGGGAGGATCTGCCAGGCTGTCTCCTAACAAAGTTAAAAGCAGCATGGAGGAACAGTTAGCTTCTTTTATAGGAGTGGGGTGGGGCTAACCTGAGCTGGGGTGGAGTTGAGTGAGGTAGCATTAAGAGACTGGAGGAGCCTGTGACATCACAAGGAGGGGCTTGTAACATCATTGGTTACTCAGAGGTAGCAAGTATCAGGTTATTCTTTAGGTGTGAAGAGACACATGATGGGAAGAAGGCTGTCCCTTGGTAGGAGAAGCCATGTTTAACGTGGAGGCTGCTATTCCATGTGGCAGCCATCACAAGGCACAGAAAGTTATGGGAAGGGGGCTACTGTTTTATGTAGCAGCCATCTTGAGGCAAGGGAAATCTAACAATTTGGAGGGTAAGGGAATGTTAATAGCACTGAGGGAGGCTGAAGCAGGAGGCCTGCAAGTTTGAGTCCCATCTGAACAATGTAAAGAGAGACTGTCTTGAAACATAAAGGGCTGAGGACGTGGCTCAGTGCTATAGCACCCCACTGTGATCTTTAGCACCTCTAAAACAAATACTCCTCAGTACTATGCTGGTCTCTATAGTAGACTCAGAAATGATTATTTCAGATCAGAGTTCCATGTTTCAGAATTGAGAGCACAGTTCCTGTCCTAGTTACTTTGCTTATTACTGAGACACAATAACAAACATCCACGTCTTAAAAGGAGAAACATTTATTTTGGCTCACAATTTGTAGAGGTTTTAGCCCACAGATGGTTGGCTCTAAGGCAGGATGGCATGGAAGAGGGGCACAGCAGAGAAGTTACATAGAACATGGTGGTGGTGCTGGTGCTGAGCAAAGAGAATAGAGGAGTAGGGAAGAGAGATAAACTTTTGAGGCTTCTTTCTACCAGACCCCATTGCCTAATAGCAAGTCAGCTCTAAGCCCTCCATAATCCAATTGTCTTCCAAAAGCTCCAGCTATGAGCACACGACGCTCACCGCTCTTGGGGAAAAATTAGAGATAAACCATTCAGGATTCTGGAGACTTCTTAGCAAAATGTGCTGGTTCCTCCTACAAAGGTGGAAGCCCAGAAAGCAGGATGTTTTTCTGCTCCGTATCATCAAGCCAGAAAGAAAAATGGAAGTTGACAGCTAAAACGCGTAAGTCTATATACTCCAGAAAATGCAGAAGCAGGAGGCTAGGTTTGAAATTGACTTCTCAACCCACTGGGGATGCATATAGGATACAAGAAATGAATGGAAGGACTGGGCTAAGAAAGAGAAAGAATTATCTTTCTGGTCATGGTCATTGTCAACTGTCATGCTGCAAAGGGTTATTTAGCATGCAAGTGGAACTATAATGGGTTTTAGGTCTGTTCAAGATTTAGGTGGTCATCTTGGAGCTAGCTTGGATTCTAGCTGGATCAGTGAGGAGAACTCTGGATCTAGAAATAGCCTGTTCTAGAAGATAAGCTGACTAGAGGTTGCAAATGTCTATCCAGATTAATTATTATTGTGGGCATCAGACTCCAATTGGGTGGAAGCTGGTTCTCTCTGTAGAATGTATGTCTTCACTTGACCATTATATGTGCTTTTCTCAGCATATGGCCCCATTTTTTGCTTAGGGGAATGCAGTACATACACAAGTGTTTGCACCTTTAGAAATGATAGTAACAGGGCTGGGGATTTAGCTCAGTGGTTCTGCTGCTTGCCTTGCAAGTGCAAGGACCCGCGTTTGATCCCCAGTACCAAAAAAGAAAAAGAAAGAAATGATAGTAACAAAAAAATCAACCTAAATAGTGGCAGTATTGTTTGTGGATTCAGTGGCGGGGGGCTGTATTAAAACATAATTTGTAAATAAGGCTCAGTAGCATCAAAGGGTCACCTGTGTCGACCCTACTGAAATGCGAGTGGATCCCAGGGGTCATGAATGAGGTCCTTATTCACAACAGGCTCAAGTATCTGGCTTCCCTGTGCCTTTGCGCCAGCTCTTGGTGATGGGACCCACATGCCAATCCAGCTTGGGACAGCCAGCTGGACAGTGTGGGACCTCACACCCCTCAGACTGAGGGTGAAAATGAGCAAGGGCTGACTTGTCACTGGCACTGCAGGACAGAACTTTAAAAGTTATTTTTCCTTCTAGAACTAAGCAACTTCTCCAGAATTCCTCCCACTGAACACATAACTGACATTTTCTCCCCTTGGCCTAAAAGAAGAGACAGAATATGCAGACACTGGAGCCCAGGTTCTGGTCCACGAGAAAGGGGACAATGGGCTGCAGATGGCTGAAGGAACACAGTATCATAGCTCTGTGCTCCTCCGCCCTGTTCCCTTCCCACCCACACACAGGGACATGGGCCCTTCTGTCTCCTTGGAGCCAGCTCTGAACAAATCCTTTTTCCTTTTCACCAAAACACCTGGCGTCCTTTGATTTGGTCAGTGGCGAGCAGACGAACTTGAGTGGCTGGGAACAGCAGAGTGATTTCTATCAAATAAAAACCTGATCATTCAGGACCTTGAGGCAGCCAGGACAGTGCAACTAAAGACTCTCAGGAAAGATGCCAGAGCTGCTGCAGAAAGTTATGAGGAAGGGACACATGCATTGGAAGGGACGAGGAAGATTTGGAGGGGGATTCATGGTCATTTGTCTTTTCTTGGAATACATTTTTTTAAAAATTAAAAAAAAAATAAGGCTCAGAAGGAGTACAGTCTCACTCACCCCAAAATCATAAGAAATGTGTGGTCCACAGTAATAGGAATTGTGGGAGGTGCTGTTAGTGATGCAAAATGAATTGTAAAAGAGAGGACTCAGATTAAACAGGCTTTTTCCAAAAGACAGTACTTTTTTTTTTGGGTACCAGAGATCCAACTCGGAACCTTGGGCTTGCAAGGGAGGCCGCGGCACCACTGAGCTAAATCCCTGACCCCAACAGAGTTACTATTAAAGGTGGGAGTCTTCTGGCCACTAACGAGCTGAAGAGAATTCCCTGTCCCTGGGCCAAGAATGAACATCTCCCAAGAGAGTGGAATTAATAAAATAACCTAAGACGCCTAAGGAGGTTCCCTGATGCACTGACAATAAAAGGCATCCAGTAATAAGAAAAACTGTCCCGAGCATAGGGATTCTGGAAGGATCTTTCACATTTAGGCTGCACAGTAAGAATACTGTGATTTAGAACCCGATTCATCCATTCGTTTCTCGTTAGCATGGTTCATTTGCTCCTTGAGCGCCCTCTGCCCTACTGCGAAGGAAACACGTCTAAACTGTTCAGAGTAGAAAAGTCCAGTCCTTAGGTTTCACTGGGCGAGGAAGGCATGGTCAGGCCTTGGTTTCCATCCCGTTTAACAGGGAAAGTCACATGCGCCCTTAAGTACTCAGCTCTTGGTCTAAGCGCCCCGAGGAGGGACGATGCAGCCCACTTTTCAGGCATCTGTGAATGAGAATCACTCGCTGGCGCCTCGCACAATCCGGCAACAGAGGCGAGGCTAGAAGTGAGCTCTTTCGAGGCGGTGCCTCCTCGCTCGGGTGACACGCCCCTCCCACAGCCTGGCGCTGGTGTAAATAAAGGCCCGGAAGTGGCCGGGTCGGTGTCCGGCGCTTGTGTCAAGCCCGAAAGCCGCGCGCCGACGGTAGTCATGAGCAGGTCCCTGAAGCCGGACCTGAAGGTCTGGCGCCAGGCGGCCACCATAGTGCTGGCGGCGGGATGGAAGAGCCCCGGTGCCGCCGCGTCTTCCGTGCAGTCCGCGGAGGACTTTAGATTGCTGCTTTTGCAGCGCTCCAAGAGCCAAGGCTTCCTGCCCGGCGCGCACGTCTTCCCAGGCGGCGCGCTAGACGCTTCAGATCGCTCGGCTGACTGGCTGCAGCTCTTTGCGCCGCACCACCTGCCCCCTCGCTTTGGACTGGGCCCAGCTCCGGCCCAGCGATCAGCCGTACCGGAGTTGCCCAACTCGCAGCCTACCTCGCTGCCCGAGGTCGCAGACGGCGACGCCGCGGCGCTGCCTGATGACGTAGCCTTGCGCATCTGCGCCATCCGCGAGGCCTTCGAGGAGGCAGGAGCGCTGCTGTTGCGGCCCAGGGGTGTCCGGCGTATTTCGGAGTCCCAGGATTCCGCTCCCGATCTCGACTGCTCCCTCGAGCCTCCGCCGGACGTGTCCATCTGGCGTACCCGCGTCAGTGGCGACGCGCGCCACTTCCTGGACCTGTGTGCACAACTGGACTGCACGCCCAACATCTGGGCGCTGCACGACTGGAGCGGATGGCTCACGCCGTTCGTGGCTGAGAAACGCCACCGCTTCGACACAAGTTTCTACCTGTGTTGCTTGCGCGAGCAGCCGCCCATCCAACCTGATTTGACCGAGGTGGTGGACTGCCAGGTGAGGTGTCCTCATGGTAGGGTGTAGGCTATCTCGGACAGGCTGAGCCTGGGGAGGATAGTTATTATCCAGGAAGTGACTGAGCGGGCTTGGGACCCCGGCTTCCAGTCCTTCAACCCTGCAGGCTAAAGCCAAGAATTTGGTGGAGGGCTTTTTTTTTTTTTGCTTTCCTTAGTTTCACAGTCTCAAGGTCTCACTCAGCTTTTACCCCCACGGGGCACTGTCTCAACCGCTCTATCTGGACACAATCATTTCATCCCCACTTCAGTTTTATTTGGTTTCCTGAATATAATTGCAAAAATTGTTTTCAATCTTTTTTTAAAAAAAAAACTGTTTTGCCTTACATATGTACAAAAATTGGTTTGATTAATTAGACCAAGGCACTCTGCAAGCAATCTTCCTCAAAATAGATTTAGGTAAAATTAGATATTTATGCACTTCTTAAGCTATCAAAACTTAAGACTTAATTCATTTCAGTTCTGAGGCTATATGTGTAAATCAAAATATGCGTTACGTTAAGGCAGTAAAAGTGAGCTGAAAGTAATCACAGGATTCAGAAAAATTACACGTTGCGTTTGCTAGCGTTGGAGTTATGATGTGAATGTGCAATCTCAATAGCTTTTTAAAATTAGTGCAAGGAGCTTCTGGGCATCGACGTTGATGCAGAGGTGGACAAGCAGCTCAGTGACCCGGGAGAACTTTGCCGAGGGCTCATTTCTCAGCATCTCTTTTCTTGGGTTTTTTGCTTCAGTTAGTAGTCAGCTTTAGTGGTCTTGATGGCATCTCTGCCAGTATGGAGCTGTGCAGTTTCACTAGCAGAAGGCAGAGCTCCTTGATGATGTATGTGTTTTTTGGGGTTTTTTGGTGCCTTGTTTTGTTTCTTTTGGTACTGGGGATCAAACTCAGGAACCTTGTGCTTGTGAGGCAGGTGGCAGCACCACTGAGCTAAATTCCTGGCCCCTATGTCTGTGTTTTTGATGATCAGGGCTTTCTCCACTTTCTTCCCTTTCACCCATAACAGGACGAATGTGCTGGAGGTGATTGCAGAACCACAGCCAAAAGTTTTAAAACTGGCATCTACAATCTTCCTGTTTTCATCCACTTGAATATTTAATTTCAGGTTACCACCACATGCTGGAGCACTCACTAATCGAATTTCAGCATTTTTAGAGGTCTTTTCTAGGGTCCTCACGTTTCTCGGATTTCTGTAATGATTTACAACCTTGTGATAAACCCGGGCTGGAGCTGACAGCATCCTGGTGGGCAGGTGTGGGCTCCAGAACAGCTGGGCAGATGCCACCCACTTCAGATGCTCCTGCTGCTTTTATCTTGCCAGCTTGCACTTGCTTCTTTTTAAATTTCTTGAGATTCATTTGTGGTCATGCATATGGTGGGTCTTGGTGAATGTTCCCTTTGCATCTGGAAAGAATATGTGTGTATTCTGTTTGATGGGGTGTTTGTAAAATTCTTCACCCTAGGTGAGCTCTGGGAATTTAGCCTAAATGCTCCTGGGTAATTCTTTCCTGAAGAGCCATCTTATGTGGTTTTACTTTATGCATACATAGGTAAGTATTTAGCAAAGATTCAAGAGTATTCTCTACAGATTTCTGGAGCTATATTCTCTATAGATCCATACTGTTAGGCACACTGCTTTCCAAATGCTAACCTGAGTGGGCCTCCCAAAGTCCAATTTCTATCTCAAGTCAGTAAGAATCCTAGGCTCCAATTAGGTTCTCCCTCCCGTGCTGCAATCTGGGGATTACTTTTAGGCGGAAACCATAGGCAATAGTTAGATTCACCTTACTCATTTTTCTTTTCTCAAGTTATAATTCTGCATTTTTCACTCTTTGGAAATAGTTGTTTCATATATTTCATCTGGATTTCTGTTACTTACATGGGAAGAGGGGAGTGATTTGAACTCCCATGGATAGAAGAGGAAGTTCAAATAAACACTTCTTTTAAAAAATTCTTTCTTAGTACATGTTGGCAGTACGTAATGTTTACATTCCTTGTGGAGAGTTGGTGGTACATGCACATAATTACTTTTTTCATCTTCCTTCCATTTCCCTTCCTCTATCTTTTGATCCCCTTCCTAGTTGAGAAACATTTAGTATCTCCTTTCTTCCCATTCTTTTATTTTTATTTTTTTCCTTGTCCCGAGATCAAACTCAGGACCTTGCACTTGTGAGGCTGGCACAAAGCCACTGAGGTAAATCCCTGGCCCCCTGTTATCACTTTTATTTTGCTCTTCATTTAGATTTTGGGTTTCTCATATAAGAAACCATATGATATTTAAGCTTCTGTGTCTGGTTTACATCACTTAACCTTATGGTCTCAAGGTGCATCCATTTTCCTACAAATGACTAAAGTTTATCTTTATGGCAGTGTAGTACTGCTCTGTGGGTAAAAACCACATTTTTTTAATCCCTTCATCTGTTGGTGGACATATAGGCCACTTCCAAGATTTAGCTATTATGAATTGTGCTGCTATAAACGTGGGTATGCATGTATCATTGTAATGTGATGTCTTACAACTCTTTTGGGAAAATACCTAAAAGGGAAATAGCTGGGTCAAGTGGAATATCTAGTTTTAGTTTTTTGAGACATCTCTATAATGATTTCTATAGTGATTGTACTAATTTACATTCCCACCAACAACATAGAGGCGTTCCTTTTTCCCCCTGCAGCTTTGCCAGCATTTGTTATTAATAAACATCTCTTAATCTGATTTAGATAAGTGGTTCTCAGTGGCAAGGGTAATCCTATCCTGATTAGCCTCGTGCATTTGGCAATGCTGAGGGGGGAGGGTTGTTTTCTTTTTGTTTTGTTTTTGGTACCAGGGTTTAAACTGAGGACCTTGCACTTGTGAGGCAGGAGTGGTACCAGGGAGCTAAATCCCCGACCTTGTTTTGTTTTTGAAACAGGGTCTTGCTATGTAGTTCCAGCTGGCATTGAGCTCACTATGTATCTCAGGCTGGCCTCAAACTCTTAGTGATCCTCCTGCCTCTGCCTCCTAAGTGCTGGGATTACAGGTGTGTGCCGCCATACCCAGTTTCTTTTAGTTTTTTAGACAGTCTCATTGTGTAGTTCAGGCTTGCCTTAAACTCATTAAGTAGTGCAGGCTGGCCTCAAACTTGCAGTACTTCTGCCTCAGACTCCTAAATTCTGAGATTATAGGCTTGCTCCACCATGCCTGGCTCTGAAAACTTTTTAAATGGACTTTGTGCTTTTGCTTCAATAGATGTTGATCTTGCTAAGAGCAGTAAACAATAACTAGGCCACGGGCTGAATATTGACCTGCCTTGAAATTTCCTCCATCAGATTAATTGGTGCACTCCCTTAATCTCAGCCTCCTACAAAGTCTGAAGACATGAACAAAATGTTGACAAATGTTCTGCCAGAGTGTCATACACATAGTCTCTATCCTTAGTGCCAATGGAGTCTTCGTCCCCAAATGAAATCTCCTAAACCTGGTCTTTCCCTATTTCTGTCAGCATTCTGGTCTTCTGGGATCAAGTGCAGCCTACAGCACTCTAGGACTTTCTCCAACTGATGTTGCCAAAGCTTTCCAGACACCTCCGGCAAACCAGTTCCAAAAGCTTCTGAACCACACTGTCAATACCCAACACCTGCAACTTATGGGAGGATTTATTTTGGCTCACATTTCAGCCCATAGTCAGCTGGCTTCAAGGCAGGATGGTACGGCAGAGGAGCAAGGTGGACTGGAAGCAGAGAGAGAATGGAGGAGCTGGGGAAGGAGATAAACCCTGTAGGTACATCCCTAGACACCAGCCTCCCTGGACCAGACCCTTTTTCCTAACAGCAAGTCAGCTATAAGCCCCCATACTCTAATCACTTTCCAAAAGCCCCATCTGTGATCACGAGGTTCTTGAGGAACATCTAGATATAAAGCATAATGCATGTCTTGGGCAGCAGCAGGACAAGAAGATACCCGTACCCCGAGACAAGAGGAAGGGCTTATATGCTAAGCTAGACAGGTGGACTGGGGCCTGCATCAGATGAGAAATAGTCCAGGTGTCAGTGGCGAGCACAAAACCGTAGGCTGACTGTTTTAACTTTGTCCTGTAGGGTTTAGAGTATGTGCAGGGGTCACCTGGCAGGCAAAATGGTAGTTAGCACCACAGTGGCTGTAGGCACATCAAACTAGATCTCTGCAGGGCAGGAAGCAGTTTCCCTTAATGTAAGTGGGTATAGTTAGAAAACCAATTAAAGACCTTTTGAAGATTTTCCACATGCACTCAGCTCTTTTTGTCTGAGTATCTGTGGAAGGAGTGCTGGGGATGGAAAGCGGCCTGCAGTAGCGTGGCCATTTAAATTTAGTGGGAAGTACTGTCTGCTTGTAACCCTGCAGAGTTATTCCACTCCCTGGACTGTGGGCTGAGTCATGCTTCTGGACTTTCACAAAAGCTCCTGCTGCTCCTGATTCTTCACTCCATTGTAACATGTGTCACATGCGTTTTGGTGGGTGAAGACCCCAAAGGACCTAAGGACTGTGTCATATCTGCCATCATAACCTCAGGGGCTAGCCCAGGTACACATTTATGGGAGGAATGAACGGACTCCACATTCTCAGTCTACTATGAAGTTAACCCTTGAGAGCCTTACTTTGTGAATGGCCAGAACCACGTTGCCCTCTCAGTATCTCCTTTTATGCTGAACAACTCTCCTGGATCAAGCCTTGGTGATCTGTTCTGGTTTATGTACTAGTTCTCAGCATCAGGGTCCCAGTAATCAACCTCTCAAAAGGATCAATCTAGCTTTCTTCTCCAAATCCCCCCCAGCTCTCTCTTGCCCTCCCCTCCCTTCCTTTCTCTCCACTTTCTGTCTCTTCTATTCTTTCCTCTCTTCCTCCTTTTCTTTTCCTTCCTCATAGACCAAGTCTTTCTATGTTGTTCTGGTTGGCCCTGAACTCCTGGACTCAAGCAATCCTCCTGTATCGGATTCCTGATTAGTTATGACCACAGGTGTATACTACAATTCTAGTTTTCCAGATTTTTTTCATATTGTCTCAGAGGGAGTTAATAAGACACGTTAATAAATTAATTTTACATCTTCAGGTAGATCTTAAATAGTGACTTAACAATCTCATATCTTGTTAATGTAATCTTAGGAAGTCCTCCCTTTGTTTTTCACAGTGGTTATCTCCATCAGAAGCAACTAAAAGTTTCCTTTCAAAAGAAATTTGGCTGGCACCCCCACAGTTCTATGAAATAAGAAGACTTGAAAACTTTGCTTCTCTTTCTAACTTGCACAAATTTTGTTTGGAGCATGCATCAGAAAGGACTGAAAGATGGCGGCCTGTCACCTGTGTAACTGCTGATGGCATGATCCAGCTTTATCCAGGTAAATTAGTGGAATGTCAGTGCTGCTGTTAGTATTAGCACAGTGCACTGGGCTGTCCAGCAGTATTATTCAACAGAGATATGAGTTATAGTCAGTATTTTATAGCCTATAGGATATTACTTAAATACCATCAAAGTTTATAACATTATCCATAGTATTTATTATAACCTGAAATTCTGAATGTTGTATACATCCATACACATAAACATTTATGTAAATATGCAGTGATACTTTGGTTTCCAAATGCTTTGGTTTGTGAACAGTTTGGTTCACAAACAAGCATTTGGCAAAATTTTGTTTTTGTTTGCAAATTCTGCCTCAGGTGATGAACACAACTGTGGCTATCTTTCCTGGACAACGACAAACGTGGACATCTTTTCCAGAATCATGGGATGAATTAAGCTCATGAACTGAGATTCCACTGTATTTCCTAAACATTAACAGAGTTCCTTTTCATATCCTGACTCACTTTTTCACATTTCAATTTTGAATTATGAGAATTTGTAACTGCCAGATTACTTGAATTAGGAAATTTGTTGATGGTCAGTTGCAGTGGGATGAGTGCAGGTTAGAGATTTGTGCCAGGGACTTTGTGACCTGTTATACTTTGTGTCTGACAACTGGTCAGTTCCTGAGAACATTGGTAAGATTGTTACTCAGCCTACTGGAGGACAATGTAACAGTTTTAATGTAGATAATTTCTTTAAATCAACTTTCAGCTTATTGAAACAGCCCACAGTGAAGCACCAGAAATATGGATCTCAAGGCCAATATTAATGTTAATATTGAATAGATTAAAGAGAGTTAAGAACTAGTATAAAAGTACAGTTCACAATGAAGACTTACCTGGTGTTACTTTTTATGTCACCCAAGAAAATTTTTGGCCAGCGATGGAGACGCTAAAAATAAATGATCCCTGGTACCAAATAAATAAATAAAATAAATAATAAACTCTTAAATTAGAGATACTTAACAACTAACTCAGTTCCAAATATGTAACATAGGTAAAAATAAGTATTGATTTATATATCTCCAATAAATATATTGGAATGATGTGTGAAATAATACTTTATGGAATATAATTTTATTATTTTTCAGGAGATGAGCTATACTTAGAAGATTCACACCTTTTAGAAAAGGTTTTGTCTACTGAAAAAAAGACTGAAGAAATCATGAAGGAAGCCAAGAAACTTCACCGATTAGTGCAACACAGCAGGCATCACTATAGTATTCACGTGACTATTCCATCAAAGGGTAAACACATTTACCCTAAGAGTTATGTAGTAAATAAGAGCCATTTGTAGGGTATAGCTTCTTTGCAAGCTAGCCTTCTTGAAGTACATTTAATGATTAATGACGACCAACTATATTTGCTTAAAACTTAAGGAACTTTGTGTCTCTGAAAGTTATAATGCAGGCTGGGGTTTTTAGCTCAGTGGTTCTGCTGCCTGCCTCACAAGTGCAAGGTCCTGAGTTCAATCCCCAGTACCGGAAAAGTAAATAAATAAATAAAAGTTATAATGCAGTGTTTCTTATTTCAAGTGGAGGTCTCGTTATATAAATTGTATAGTATGCCACAATATAAAATTTATTAATGATGTTGTTACCAAAATAATAGAACATTAATAATGTTTCCTACTTCTATACTGTTTTATTAGCTCTCCTGTCATTATTTCAACTGTTCCACATAGTAGCACTTTGCCTGATATGCTTTGGGAGCTGAACTACTCCTTAAAAAGGAGTAGTTTTTTTTTTTGTTGATTAAAGGTAGTAAATGATAGTTAAGACAATTCTACTTTAAGAGCTTTGTATATATTATTTGTTAATTCATGGATTTTTTTCATGAAATGTCTTCGTTTTCTACCCAAGATGAAGGCAGTGATAATAAAATTTATGTTTATTTAATCCTGTACTGGAGCCAGGGGTGGTGGCTCACACCTGTAATCCCAGCACATGGGAGGCCTTGAATTTGTGATCTAAATCTGAATGAATCTTGTCTCCTTTGTAAAATTGCTTTTGGGAGACTATCACATGACTCCCTGCTAGCACAGATACCCTGTTTCAATGGTCCAAAATAATAGGTCTTCATGTGCCAAAAAATTACATTGTTGTCACACTCAGTTCATGTTCATGGCATTTATTATGCACACTGTCTTCCTTACCTAATGGCTCCTGGGCCTCAGATACAGAAGCAGAAAGGTGATTACAGTACTTATTCCTTGTCACCTTTGAACTGGTATCCCTACCTGTCTTAATCACTTTCCTCTTGCTGGGACAAAATATCCAACACCTATAACTTAAAAGAAGGTTTATTTTGATTCATGGTTTTAGTCCATGGCTGGCTGGCTCCAAGGCAGAAATAGCACAGCAGAGGAAAGTTGTTCAGCTCATGGAAGCCAGTAAGCAGGGAGAGAAGGGAGGAAGTGGGTCCAGTAATACACATTTCTAGGGTGTGCTCCCAGTGACCCACCACCAATGAGGCCTTACTCCTAGTAGCACATTTAGATACTGAATTGATGACTATCCACTGATTAATAGTATACCCTCATGATCCAAACACATGAAGCTTTTAGAGAAGTTTTAGATCTAAACCATCGCAGTCTATTACTGGGCACTTAGGTTCGTATGCTCAGGTTTGTTCACTCACCCCTGAGCAAATCAAAAGAGGTCATTTAGTAAAAGAGAAAAAAGATTTATTCAAGGCTTGCTCTGAGGAGATAGAGGGCTCATTTTCCTCAATTCACTGTATTACCATGTACACTTGTTGGGGCCTTTTATAGCAAGGAGCAGTTGGGGAAGAATACACAGTGGACGAACAGACATGTTCAGGCTTCTTCCATCCCTTGCTGGGTACCTCTCACCCTTGCCTAAGAGAATGAAATTAAGCTTAACTTCCCAATGCCAGCATTTATATACAAGGATTTTGTTCATCTGTGCTACAGACAGGTGGAGGTAACTATTTAATGTTCCATTTTGCAGTGCCACTTAACTCCTCCCTTGGCTTTCAAAAGGTTTATGTAGATTTCGTTATATAAAAATGTATTTAGTCCTTGTTTAAGAATCATGACAGTTAATAACAGTTCCAGCACTACTAAAAGTCCAAGTTCAAAGTCTCCTTTGAGACTCAAGGCAAACTCTTAGCTGCGAACCCCTGTAAAAATAAAAAACTTAAATACTGGGCTGGGGATTTGGCTCAGTGGTTCTGCTGCCTGCCTTGCAAGGCCCTAAATTCAATCCCCAGTACAAAAAAAAAAAAAAGTTAAATACTTCCAATATATAATGGCACAGGGTTAAAATTCCCATTCCAAAAAGGAGAAATAGGAGGAAGAAAGGAATGGAACCAAAGCAAGACAAACCCAGTAGGACAAACATCAAATCCTGTAGCTCCATGTACATCACCCTACACAAGTTGTAGTGAGATTCAAACTCCAAAGAGGTCTGGGTAGTCCTGCCCTGTAGCATTGCCAGTTGTAACCCTAATGACCTCTCTTCAAAAGCTGGCTTCAGTCACTGCTTTTGGCCTTCCTGAGACATTCCATGTTCCTGGATTCTCCAACTTCCTGGTGTCTGCCCTGCAATTTTTGTTTTACTTTCACAGCTTCATACACTGCCCTTGCAGGGGCACACTGCATGGCCTCCCAAGCCTTCTGGAATCTGGATGGAAGCCTCCATTACCTCATAACCCTTGCATTCTGCATGCCTGTAAAACAAACACCATATGAACAATACTTGAGCAGTTGCCAGGTCCCCATGGGCTATGGCTGCAGAGGCCTTTGTGTGCCTAGGTGGCTGAGCACTATGAACAAATCATAGGGGCCAATTCCTTATGTGGCCTTTCTCCAGAAAGGCCTAGGGCCTCTCTTCTCAAATGGAAGCTTTACAGTTTTGCACCTTTGAGCCTGCAAAGGGTGGGCCTTACTGATTCCTCACATGCACTCAAGCCATCTTTCCTATTGTCCTAATACAGAATGTTTGGCTTCTTTTTAATGGTAATCTCATCATTCTCTCCTTTGCTCCAAGTTTGCAAGCAGTTCATTTCTGATGAAGCTGAAAACTTCAAACCTGCTTGATTCTCACTGTAGATCTAGTTAAAAGCAGCCACCACTACACATGCCACAGCCTAAACATTGGGCTGTTTTGAAATTTCCTCCACCAGATTAATTGGTCCACCACTCTCTTTAACCTCAGTTACCTGCAAAATCTTAGGACATGGGCAAGTTGTAGACAAATTTTCTTCTGCCAGTGAGTAACATCTAATCCAAATATCTATGGAGTTATTGACCTCCTGAGCTTGGCCTTTTCTGTCTACATTTCTATTAGCTCTTGGTCTTCTGAGCTCTGACCAGAACCTCCTATCAGTCTTTCTGCTTACAGTATTTAAATGTTTCTTGAGCTGATAGCACTAAACCGTTTCAAACTCACCTGGCAAGCCAGTTCCAATGGGTTCTGAACCACATGATAAGGTATAGTCAGTAATGGCCCCATTCCTGGTAACAATATCCACCTTAGTTACCTTACTGTTGCTGGGACAAAATATCCAATACCCATAAGTTAAAGAAGGAGGGGATAATTTGGCTCATGGTGTCAGTCCATGGTGGCTGGCTCTAAGACAAAAATGACATAGTAAAAGGGCATGGTGGAAAAATACTGTCAATCCTTGGCAGCCATAAAAGGGAGTGGGGTGGGGACAAAAAGACTTTTCCAGATCATACCTCTAGTGACCTACCTCCACCAGGTCCCGTCTTGTAAAAGCACAGTTAGCCGGGGAGCTCATCAGTGGGTGAATCCACTGAGATTAGTACTCTGATTCTTCACCTTCCAAAGACATGAAACATTTGGGGCTATTTTATTTATTTTTTAAATTTTATCACACAGTTTTTATTGAGAATTTTGTCTGGTTACAGAGAAATATTTAAAAGGACCAGATCTTAGGTAACTTCATTGTTGTACGAAGCTGAACAGCCAGCATGTCATCTGGTTCTTCATGAGAAAACCCTGTGAAACTTTCATCCTTGTTACTAGATGGCAGTATATTCACTTGGGTGCTTTCTTAGAGCATCTCTTGATCTTATCTGCAACCTGTTGCTCTCTCCTTTGTTGGATGATTTTCATGTATTTCTCTAAAGGATTTTCACTGGTGGCTGATTGAGGGCCATTTTAGATCTAAACGATAACACTATTTTTCAGGACACAGCCAGGAAAGCTTGTTTTCTATGGTACCATAGCTGTCCTCAAGTTCCAGTTATAAATTCAGGAATAAATACTAAGTCAAACATACATTTTCATGCCCTCCTCTTTTTGCTGATTCTATTAAGGGACCTCAATAGGGATCCAAAAGACGGGCATTGGTATTTCAGGCTAACATGTCTTGTTCATAATGTTCTCAATTTAGAATGTCATGTAATATGGGTGATACAGTATAATGACTCAATATAAGGGAAACACTCTCTTCTGAGGGATAATTTTTGGTGTATTTGGGCACAATATAGTTATTTCATACTCCTTCCTTGCCTTAAACCTGTACTGTTTTTTTAAACTGCAACTTTGGGCAGTTTTCTATTCCTCTTTGTTCCCTCTGTAGCCACTCTGCTTTGACTTTTGGGATATATATACTGGGAATTGAATGTAGGTCCTTTGTGCCGAGATATATCCCAGCCCTTTTTAAAAATTTTGAGACACAAGCATTGTTAAGTCAGTAAGTTGCCCAGGCTGGAGTTTAATTTGTCATCCTGCCTCAGCCTCCCAGAGTTCTAGGTTACAGGTGTGCATCATCTTTTGACACTGAGTCCTTCAGTCCTTAGTCTCAGACCTTCTCTTCTTTGCTATGGCCAGTAACTTCCAGGTCACATCCTTTCTTACCCTCTACTTTCTCTTTTCCCTTTTAGTAGCTGGAAATGATGACAACTGAAGCAACTGCCTTGGACCCACAACAGAATGAAGTGATAAGGGAGAGCTTTCCTGTAGCTCCGGATTGCTTTCCTCTTGCTTGTTCCATGAAAATATACTTCCTTTTGTTTTATTTATTTATTTAGAGACAGGGTCTTGCTTTGTAGTTATGGCTGGACTTGAACCGATTATGTAGCCCAGGCAGGCTTCAAACTTGTGGCAATCCTCCTGCCTCAGCCTCCCTGCACCATCACATGAAGCTTTGATCCACTCTTTTGTTTTTGAGATGGGGTCTCACTATCCAGTCCAGGCTGGCCTTGAACTCACTGCTTAACCCAGGCTGGCCTCAAACTCATGGCAATCCTGCTTCAGCCTCCCCAGTGCTGGGATTATAGGCATGTACCACCACATCCCGCCTGATCCTCTCTTCTGACTATTGCATTGTTCTACTGTTAGTGTAAGCCAATGCTACCTTTACTAAGCTGCTGTTACCATCTCAGAGCTATGTTCTCCATTTTCATTATTTCACTCACAACAAATTCACACATTGAAATGGAAATGTGAGTGGCGTCATGTGATCACCGGCCTCATTAAAACTCCTCAGCGGCTTTTCTTCACATTAAAATCTACATTTACCATGGCCAACAAAGCCCTGCTTTACTCTCCAATTTCATTATACACCTCTCTCCATTGGCACCCTTCCCCCAAGACCTTTCCATTCCTTGACTACTGAAAGGTCTTTCTCACCTCAGGACCCTTTGCACTTATGTTGCCTCAAGACAAACTTGGATCTCACAACAATTTTTAATCTTTGGTCTCTTTGTTATTGTAAACAAAGGAAAACAGAGATAGAGGGTGACATCCAGTGTGTGGATTATTGGCATATCTAAAAGAATATTCCAGAAAAAATGGGAGACACAGTATTTGGAAACAAAGTCGTCGAGCTGAAGAGAAATGTTGATCTTGAGATGAAAAGGCCCCATCGTGGTCAAAGCAAAATTAACAAAAATTATCCAATACCTAGGTGGCATGTTGAATTTCAAAGGGAAAGAATGTCACAGACTTTCGGGAAGATTAAAATTACAATGGTACACAATGAGGTTTCTGAGTGGGTCACACAGTGTAACAGGATACACAACATTAAGTATAAAATATTGAAGGGAAAAAGATGCATGTGGTTGATAATTCTGTATCAGCCATATGTGAATACCACAAAAATAATGTTCATTACATATGGACTCTGAAATTTCTACTCTTTCTGAAAAAAATTCATGACAGGAAATGCCATAACTGACTGAAAGATTATGCAACATTTAAAAAAAAACTTTTTCAGTAGGAGTGTGAAATAGAAATCCTGATGTTGAGTGTGGAAATCAAAGAAATATGGAAAGAAGATCTGAGTAATTATATACAGTTAAGAAACACTGCAAATATTAACACGAGCCCAAATTCTGGCCTGTTTTGTAAAAGAAAATACACATTTTTCATAAAAATAATTCAGTTCAACAATCTCAGATTATACCGCCAATAAATAAGAGTGGCTACAGCAAAAATGAGAAACATAAGAGGAGGGGTAAATAGCTGCATATTTGTATTCCAGAGAAATATCTTTTGTAGGTATGGTTTAGGTACAGGTTGCATGAAAAATAACATATTCATATGGAGCCTCAGTGCAATAAGCTCCCATCACAGCAAGCTGGAGTCTGTCCCAGTGTGATGTACAAATATTTTCTCTAGCCCACGTTGTGAAAGAAAAGTTTGCAAAACACTATACTGTGGCATGTAGTGATGAAGTCAAAGGCTGAAAAGGCTGTCCCTCACTATGATCTGGGAGAAAGTATCCTTTTACTGGTTCAGACTGAGGAGGGCCACTTGAGATTCGTTCTCAAGAAGACACAGAACTGTGGACTGCGTTAAACATCTTTTATTCAGCTATAACCCATCTGTGTAGCCACTACTGCAGCCCCCACCCCACCGTACACGAGTGGTCTAGTGGCAGTCCTCGGGACTCTAGCCTACCCATACCCACAGCAGTCTTCAGCTGATCCGTGTACATTTACACCAAAATACACAGAGATGGCCATGTGCCAGTAATGACTTTGGCTACATCAGTTATTTACACTGAGACCAACAAGGTGCACTTGTGCTGAAATCTTCCTGACTTGGATTTAAGGTCCACCAGAAATCACCTTCAAAGCCTGAACCAAAGTGTAGCCAGCTTTTACTTTGGCGCTGCCCTATTTTCTGTCTTTGGGGCTTGGGAACTATTTCTGGGACCTGATTAAATCAGATCTTATGGCTTCCATCCGCAGGTTTCAGGTCAGTTAGCCTTGCCAGGTGCCCTGATTCAGGGTTGGTATGGGAGGGCCTGATAAGCAACAGGTGAACTTCATGCATTCTGCAGCACTGTTTTCCACCTCACTGGAAGCCACTTACCATTTCTAATTTTCCGGCCAGGGATTTATTAAGCACATATTTATGCGACCTTGTGAAATCTTTTTTGGGGGGGCTGAGGGCGGCGGCGGTGGTTGTGATGCTAGGGCTGGAACACTGGGATCTCACAATAAACTACATCCCCAGACCTTTTAATTTATTTAATTTTGCTTTAAGATAGGGGTTGCCCTTCACGACTTGCTGCCTCTATGGTGATCAAGGGGCCAAGTCAGGTCACTGCTTCTAAGGCCCCCTGCCAACAGTGCCACCTGCCCACCTTCTGGAAAAGGCCCCATTTTGAATAATGTCTTCATTATTGAGGGAACATGGATTTCTCCAACTTGAGCATTTATAACTGAGCCTGTTTTCTCACCTAAAAATTAAGACTCACCGAGTGGTTCTCAGAGTTTGATGCTATCTCACTGTGAAACCAGAAAGACTGGTCTCCGTTGGTTCGACTCGGCGCAGGTGCGCTTGGCTTCAGTACTCACACTGCGCAGGCGTGAGCATCACGTGAGCGCCAACTGCCGGATAACCGCCCATCTGTGCGTGGCGCCGTCAGGCGCGGTCGACCCAGGCACGAGGACAAAAGCGTGGGAGCAGCGAGGTTTGTTCCCTTGCGCGCAGGGCCTCGGAAGGCCAGAGACTTACCCGTCGGCAGGGGCAGTCAGTTCCCCACCATTGCCTTCCAGGCCTTACGACCTCCAGGAGGCCGCGCCCCGACGCTAGAGACAAGGAGCTCCGCACCCAGGCGCAGGCTGGGGGGACGCGGCGGGCTGTGGAGGACGCAGGATGCTGGAGGTGGTGGTGCTGAAGGTGAGGGCGCGTGGGCCGGTGTGAGCCCAGGCTTTGGCTAAGCAGCGGGAAGTTTGGCTGAAGTTTGACTCTGGAGATGCTGGGGATTTAGAGTGCCGCATTACTATGCGTGGTTTCCCCCACATTCAGACAATATTTGCCCTGTGTGTGTGTGAATATGTGGTCTGTTTTTTTCTTTTCTTCCTCTTTTCCTTCTCTCTTTTCTTTTTTTTTTGTCTTCCTTCTCCCCATCCTTTATTTCCTGTTATCGTCCAGAGCCTTGAACTCGGCTACATCTTTTATTTTTATTTATTTTATTTTTGTAAATCTTGAGCGAGTCAGAGACATTAAATTGTCCAGTCTGGGCTCGAACTTGACACCCTCCTGTCTCAGCCTCCCAGAGTGCTGGGGCCATGCTCAGTTTGCACGGTATTAATCTCCCTGGAACCCGGTCCCGCACACATCCTTTCCACGCGCGTGTAGTGGACGCAGAACGGTGGCCTCTTCCCTTCCCCCGATGCGAGCCCTTCTAGGTCTGTCTCCGGTTCGGCTCAGTACGCATTTCCCCTTGGGGCGGTGTGAATGTCCCCAGCCACTGTGAGGTTGGCTGCCTTTAGGTCTTTGCAGAAGGTGAGGCTGCTTGGAGGAAGGAGCTTACAAACGACAGCAAATGACCAGGCCTGGGTTATTGGAAAAAGGGTATATAAATTCTTTTACAGTCATACTTTAGTAGGCAGAGAAGAGAACCATAGCAAATGATGGGATTTTAAAAATCCTATTTTATATAATTTTTCCACACAGAGAAGAACAACCGTTTATAACATCCCAATTTATAATTAGAGGTTTTGCCTTGAGGTTGCAGGAGTTTCAGGTTCAACTGGCACACCTCTCCACCACATCAGATGTCAATCCATCCCAACTATGGTAACCAGATTTCTCCTCTAAAAAACACAAGGCTATTCCAGAGCTGGAGATCCCCTCATGTGCACCCATGAGGTAGAACCTTGGCAAGAGGAGCTGGACTCTGCTTTCTGCTTGGAAGCCCCTCTGCTCACACTGGGCCTCCAGAACCTTTTTATTTGCTCCATTGTCTCTGATCTGCCCCTGTTTCTGACTCCTACCCAGCTCACTCTCTGAGCAAATTTTCTGCCCTATAGAGGAGTAGGTATTTGATCAAGTGTGGTACAGATACTGCTTGTCCTCCAGGTGGCTTTTATGTGGCTAAAATATTTCCCAAGTGTCCAACGGTGAGTAAACAAAATGCCACATGTATATGTACAAGGGAATATTGTTTAACCTTAAAAAGGAAAGAAATTTTGACATACGATTCAACATGGGTGAGCCTTAAGAACATGTTAAAGCCATTCACCAAAGAACCGTGTTTTTCAAAGGCAGCAGCTTCTGCCTTCCAGCTGTTTTCCTTCTCTGACCCTTTAGAGTCTTATCTAAGCAATTCGTGGTCTGCCAGGATGTGAGAGAGGCTCCATATGCAGGTTTTAGGGCTCCTCCTCCATGATTTTTCTCCCCTTAGTTTTCAGCTGCTGTGGAAGCCCCAAAAATCTTATTTTCTTATTCTCAATCCTCAAAATATCTGAGCATTCAGAAGACTAAAGAGTACTAATGCAAATACCTGTATTCCTGCCTCAGCCCTCCAAGAGCAAGGATTAGAGATGCTCCACCATGACTTGCTGAAAATCTTGATGTTTTGCTTTGCCTTGTTTTATTTTGTTGAGACAGGGTCTCACTATGTAGTTTAGGCTGGCCTAAACTCATTGTGTAGCCCAGGCTGGCTTCAAACTCATGGTGATCCTCCTGCCTCAGCCTGCAAGAACTGGGATCACAGGCATGCACCACCATGCCTGGCTGAGACTCTTAATTTCTAGTAACAGCATAGCACAAGATACATCACAGAGTTCTGTCCTATTCCACTCCTACCTCTTCTAGTAGGTAATAGTATATATTTGTTTTACCTATTTAAAAATATGTGCAGAATGTAAATATATTTATTTCTCACAAAAAGATTAAAAACATTGTGCCGAACCATACAGATATTATGAATATTTTAAAAATGTAGATCAAGAGCCCTGTTTGCTTTATAGTCGTAACATATAATTGAGAGTTGCTTGCATATTATTGCTTGCGTGTTTTGGAGTTTCATCTTTGGTTTGACCATTTAAGAGTAAGATACCGAAAATTTGTTAGATCACAAATTAGAAATTGTTATTGTGATTTTAAGTTTATTATTTTACAGTTCTACTTTTAAATCATACATTTATCTTTTAAAACTTTTGTAGATTGAAGATCCAGATTGCTTCTGGGTTGTTATGAAAGGATGTAGTCCTTTTTCAGATCATGAAGTCGACTATCAAAAACTAAATAGTGACATGAATGGCTTCTATAACAGCAGGCATCAAAATATGGAAATAAGACCTTTGATTTTGGAAGAAGGGCAAGTAAGTATCAGATGTGCTTTAATCACCATGTCTTGAAACACTACTCAAAATGTAAAATATTTTGGTCCCTAAGGTGATGAAAGCCTTTGGAATATTTTAGTTGCTTACAATCATTGCTTGGTGTTAAGTTTGATAGGTTGCACGAGATTCAGGCCAGTGCTAGAAAGAAAGGGTTCTTGTGTCCCTTATAAGTGAGCAGGCAGTAGGAGATGGCATGTCCTCTAAATCCAGGCACTGGAGCCATCGTCCTAATTTACTTTTCATATGTATGTGTAGTATTGGAGATCAAACCAAGAGCATTAGCACTGATCTACAGCCTAGGCTCTATTTATTTATTTTTGTATTTTTGTACCACGGATTGAATTTGGGACCTTGCGCTTGTGAGGCAGGCAGTGGAACCACTGAGCTAAATCCCTGGCCCAGCCCTTTTTAAGTTTTAAGACAGGCTCTTGCTAAATAACTTCGAAGTTGTCCTGCTGGACCTAAATTTGTAATCTTCCTGCCTCAGCTTCCCGGAGTGCTGGGATTACAGAATGCTCTAACATAGCTGGCTCTTTAAAAATATTTTTACATTTTTAATAGGTTGATTGCTATCTGGTGGTGGTAGTTTAACTTCTCCCTCCTATCCTCTGTATTTTCTATGAATTAATATTTAAATACAGTTAGGGCTGGGGATTTAGCTCAGTGGTTCCAGAGCCTGCCTTGCAAGTGCAAGGACCCGAGTTTGATTCCCAGTACCACAAAAAATAAAATAAAATAAATAATAAATAAATACAGTCAAATATAAAAGTCTAGGTAGGTTTAGGGTCACTTTTTTCCCCAAGAATATTTGTTCTTTGAGCTGCTTCTTGTATTAAATTGGATGATAACATCACTTGTGACAGTGGATTTGGATCGTAACAGCCTGACACCTCTCTCTGCCCTCGCTTTGGGAGTTGCCTGTCAGTATTTATGTACTGATCTCTCCAGTGACCACCGCTGCTCAGTCAGCTTTCATTCATGCTTGCATGATGGTGATTTCTCTCTCTTTTTTCAAATTTTTTGGTACTGGGGATTGAACTTGGGACCTGGCACTTGTGAGGCACGTGACAGAACCACTGAGCTAAATCCCGGCCTGATGATGATTTCTCTTATTCCCTTTGCATTCATGAGCTGGGGTTCTTCTGTGTAGAACTTCCCCTTATTTATTTCATGACACTGAAATAATTAAGTTGATACTGTAAAGATTTAAAAATTGCTTGATTCTTTCTCTTAGAAATTTTCAGTGTAATGTTTTCTGCCTAAATATCTCCACTTGTGTTCAGAGATGTCCTTTCCCCCCTCCTCTTTTTCTTGTGCTGGGGATTGAAACTAGGGCCTTGTGCATGCTAGACAAGTGCTCTGTCACTGAGCTATGTCCACAGCCTCATTTCTTTTCATTTTTAAGTACCATTTTGAACTTCATGGCTTTTTAATGTATTTATCAGTTGCAGTCACTGCTTTTGCTTAAATTGTCCCCTTTTTGGCTTATAGAAGCCCTAGCGTAACCCAATTTCAAAGTTTTACTGCTATGTGAATTATTGACTGTTCAGACCATTCCTACAAGTTGCTTTGATTTACGCATTAAATAGAAATACCCTTTGTCCTTTGTCAGGATTTCTCTTGAGTCATTTGAGGTTTGAATTGTGAGGTTCTCTGTATCTTATCCCTTACAGTGTGGCTCTACCTGCATTTTCCAGATTCCATTCCTAAGGTCTGGAATCTGCTGGTGGGCCTCTTCCCAGCTTGGGCACAGCTCCCCCTCTGGGTGGCTTTAGAAGCCTGTGGTCAGTGTGTGGTCTGCTGGGCTGTGGCCTGGTGGTCCTGCCATCTAGTCAGGATGGTTCCCCTGGAGAGGGGCTGCTGCAGGCATTTATTTAGTCAGCCATTTGACAGGTAGGTTTTGTTGTTATTGGTGTTTGTTTGCAGTACTGGGAATTGAACTCGGGGTCTTCCCACTGAGTTACATACATGCCCAGCCCTTTTTAATTTTCTATTCTGAGACAGTGTCTTTAAGTCAGTCAATTGCCCATGCTGGGCTTGAACTTGTGATCCTTCTGCCTCATTTTCTTAGAGTGCTGAGATTATAGCCACCATGCTTGGCTCAATAAGTAGTTTTGAAAACTTAGTATGAGCCAGGCTGTACTAGGAACTGGGATCACGGTAATAAGCATGATCACGGAGCCAGCCTCCACTTGTGACAGGCAAACAGTAGAGGGCAGAAAAGGCCATGAAAGAGAATGGTAGGATGAGCTTGGGGTTGGAGTTTTACATTTGTTTAATACAGCATTGCCAATCATTTGTAATCGTGAGCTTTGTTTTTCTGATTTAAAAAGGTAAAGCAATGCATTTTTAAAATTTTGCTTAGTTAAGGAGTCAAAATTATTTTACAGTAGTTTCTGTTACTTATGGGAATGTGTTCCATGACCCCCCATGATGCCTAAACTGTATACAGTTTGCACATATATATGTATAGGTGTATATGTACATATGTGTATATATACATACTTAGTATAAAGTTTAATTTATAAATTAGTCACAGTAAGAGATTAACAACAAGTAATAAAATAGAACACTTATAGCCATATACTTGTGTTAGCTGTCCATCATCACTGTGACGAAACTCCTGATATAAATCAGCTTAAAGGAGGAAGGGTTTCTATAGGCTCATGGATTAGAGGTTTCCATCCAAAGTCAGCTAGAATCATTGCTTATAGGCCTGTGCAAAGAAGAAACATCATGGTGGAAGGCCAACAAGAAGGGAAAAGGGCCACAGTAAGGGGCCAGAGATCAGATATATCCCCTAAAGGCACATCGCCATAATCAACTCCCTTCTGCTAGCTCTACTCCTGTTTCTATCACCTCCCACTAATGCCATCTAATTATGATCCTTGTAATCTAATCACTTCCCAAAGGCCCATCAGCTGGCCTTTAGGGGACATTTTTAGATCCAAACTATAACGATACTGTAATAAAAGTTCGTACTTTAGGGCTATTATTAAGTAAAATAAAGGTTTCTTGAGCTCAGGCACCTGGGATACTGTAACACCTTATCTGGTAACTGCTAAATGACTTAATTGGATGAGTTGCACATACAGTGTGGCTATGCCAGACAAAGCAATTCATATTCTAGGCTTTCTAGGGGTGAGATGGTTCAAGATTTCCTTGTACTACTCAGAATAGAGCCCACCTTAAAACTTATGAATTGCTTGTTTCTGGAATTTTCCATATTTTTAGATTTACTGCAGGTAAGTTAAACTGTGGAAAATAGGGAAATGCTATAGTAAAACAGAAAAATGGAACAGATTGCAGGTGTCCTATGTCCTTGAAGTTCTTTTTCTGGCAGGTGGTGTTTGGTTAGGGCAGGTCCTTCTTTCAGCATCCCTGTCCTCTTCTGTAAGGTAAAATGCAGGCTGATAAGGTTTTGAGAGGAACCTTTTAGTTTTGTCATCATGAGACTGGGGATTTTAGCAGGGAATTTAAAAAATAAAATCTTCCTCTTTATTTTGTAGGTTTGTGCAGTCTATTGTCAAGAGCTAAAGTCCTGGTGCAGGGCTGTTATTAAATCAATCATACCTTCAGGAGACTATTACCTGGCCATGTGTTTCCTTGTGGATTTTGCCAAGTACATTCCAGTAAAATCTAAAAAGTATGTATGTTGTTTATTTTGCCTTAAATTCTTCAAGGAGACAGATGTCAGTTTGGACAAGGAGAATGTTAATTTTTAAGGAGATATAGAGGTCATTCCCTTTTGAGAAAAGATGAAACAGAATTTCTTAGCTTCAAGAAGGCAGCATTTACAAGTTCCAGTTCTGCATCTATTGACTGGAAGAGCAGGTAGTCAAATTGAGGCTCAGGGACAGCTTTGGCCCCTTGCCATCTTCCTTCTGGAGAGGGCAGGTCAGGTCCAGGCCCTTCTCTGAATATCATGGGCTCATTTGCCAGATGCTCTGTGGTCTGGCCTCTTAGGTGAGTCCCTTAGAGAAGTGTGGCCCCCAAAACACTAGTGCGAGGTAGGGGAGGTTGCTGCCTCAAGCTCAAGTTGTAGAGAGCAGATACACTCAAGTATGTAATCCTGTGTATGGCCACCACAAACAGCGGGCAGCCACATGTCAGTTTCTGGAAAACACTACACATACTGTTCTTGGTGTTCATGATAACTGTCCCATAGTTTAATAAGCAAATAGGATACTTCTTCCACTAAAGAAGGAAATGCCAACTAGATTTTAATAGCAATAACAGATCTCTCAGAAGAATCTGATGCTAGAGAGTTTGTTAGACATTGGGAATTTACTGATATTTAAGGAAAATGAAGATGGCTTTCCAGGTTGTGACTCTGTATCTTGATAATTTCACTAAAATTACTGTTGTGATTAATGTTGGGTAGCTTTTCTTTTTGTCTTTGATATTTTAAGTTTAGCTTGTTTTGGGCAAGAAAACTATGCTGAGATAGAGCTGTTGAAGCAATTAGTGCAGCTTCTGTTGGAGACAGAGGACAGCACAGCTGGCTGTGCAGGACACATGGGATCTAGGGAAAAGAACTGGCTTATGTTGAAATAATATTTTACCATGGTCATTTGCCTAAAGAAGAATGGAATAAGAATGTAGAACTTATTTGTCAAATCTGTCTTTTGCCTCTTTCGTGCAAAGACAGCAATTTATTATTGAAACATCGATTTATATACAGAAACTTTTTAACTTAGAAACTTTTGTGTAATTCTAGTAAAATATTGAGATTGATACTTCATCTTAAACAGAATTTTCTTCACAGGTTTGCTCATTATTAGTCCATATTTCCCAACATTGGCATCCTCTCTAGACCTTTTTTCTTGAACTCCTGTCCCGTGCTGTGAAATGTTAATGCCACAGAAATATTTAACATCTGCTTATGCATTATATATGCCTGTGCTTTATACACAAAGAATAAGATACTGTCCATTCAAGAAGCAGCTTTTATCTCCTAGACCAGTGATAGCAAACCTTTTAGACCTTTCAATGATGCAGACAGCTCGCTGTGGCAATGTGACCTAGGTTCACTACCACTGCCTTAGACCAAGTGTCTTCAAGCATTGTTGGTAGCTATATTGGAAACAGAATAGTTTCTATTAAGTATATTAACTATATAGGTATACTTTAAATGAAATGAAGATATTGTGTATAATTTTATTTATAATGGAACTCTCTCTTTTAAGCATCTGTATTGGAGTAGAATCTTTTATGCAGCTCCCCTATAGAGCGAAGAAATTCAGACTTTATTGCACAAGACCTGTTACATTACACATTGACTTCTGTGAAGACAATGCTGAAATTGTGTAAGTATAGCTTCTTAAATAACTTAAATCATTAAAAAAGCCTTAAGTCAAATGTGTGATGTTTATTTGAAATTAGGCCCTGTATAGAAGTGCTGAGTCTCTTGCTTTGCAGGAGGTGGGTTCTGAGTCACTGTTCCAATGCAGCAGAATCTCGTGGGTTAGCCCCATCTTCAGAGGCTGTGTTTGGGAGGTTTGGAGGAGGGCCTGAGCTCTCTGCTTTTTATCTTTTCTAAAAATTTATAAAATGTAAAAAGTTACAGTAACTATCTAGGGAAGCAAAACTTTGCTCATAGACCATTAGAAAGTTTATTATCCAAGTTCAATGGTACGTACTTGTAGTCCCAGCTACACTGGTGGTTGAGGCAGGAAGATCAGGTAAGCCCAGGAGTTTGGGGCCAGCCTAAGTATCATAGCAAAACCCCAGGTCAAAAACAAAACAGCTGAGTGTTGTGGTACACACCTGGTCTACGTAATGAGTTCAAGGACAGCCTGAATTATGTGCAAAATCCTGTGTCAGAAAACAAGTTTATTACATTGTTCTCCAGCCTCAACATTCTCTTTCTTAGGAGGTGTGTTCTGTTACAGCTCTGAGCTTCCAGACCTTTTTCAGTGTTTTTATATGCATTTTTATCTGTGGAACTTTAATTAAAATTAGAACATGCTGTCTTATTTTTTTAATCAGCTTAATAATGTACATATATTGAAGCTCTTTACCAATATGTATCCCTCTCTTTTTAGTTTGTCAGTCTTTTTCATAGATGGATATAATTATCACATTTATCATTCCCCTCCTGATAGCCATCTATCTTGCTTCTAAACTGTTTGGCACAATATAAAAAATCATTTAATTTAATTATATAGTATATAATTTAATGATAAAAATATATGCTAAAATGATTAGATAGGTAACTTTATATAAAATACAGATATGGAAAGGTATACATACACATTCCTTTCCTCATCTTTGATCCCTTTTTCTAGAACTTGGCTGTGGGGTAGTATTTGGACTGGATAGATCCTGCACCCTCTGATATCTCTGCTGAATGGCATGATTCCTGGTCCTGTGATTGGCTGAGCAGTCCTTTCCTCCCCCGCTGGGCCCATTGCACTATGGGAAGAAAAACCATTCAGAATAGCTCTAGTAATTCATTCATTTACTTTTTTCTTTTTTTTTTTTGGTACTGGGGATTGAACTTGGGTCCTTATGCGTGTGAGGCAGGCCACTGAGCTAAATCCCCCAGCCCCTGATCTTGAATTTTTGATCCTTCAGCCTCAGCCCCCTCCCCCAGAATTCTGGGATTACAGGCATGTGCTACCTACCACACCCAGCCGAGAACAGTTGTCTTGGCGATGTGGTATTATGCTCTCTGTACTCAGGAGCTGCTCTCTGTGAATACTTGTATTGTCTCTTCCGAGACTTTCCTGTTCCCTGCTCCCATCACCTGCAGCTGCTTTGAGGTAGTGAGTGTGTCACCTTGTAGAGGGCCTTGAATTCACACCAGTAGGATAAGCAGCATATTTCCACAAGGCTGCCCTCCACCCAGCCCACACCTTTATTTGTGCATCTTTGCACAGAGACTGGGAATGAGGGCCCAGGAACAGCAGCACCACCCCCTTCACCCCCTAGTCTGTCAGAGCAGGTGGCTGCTGACCCTTTGAGAATGTACAGCCGACTCCTCCTCAGAGGAAGCATGTGTCCTGTCCAACTTGCTCCTCTCTGCAGGACCCTGCAGGGATCAACAGGGCCCTTCCAGGATACATCTGATATGGATGAAGGGCCTATAACAGGTCATCTCACTGAGTTTTTATTGTTGTTTTGGGACAAGGTCTCACTTTGTAGTTCAAACTGGCCTTGAACTCACTCTGTAGCCCAGGCTGGCATCAAACTCAGGGCAATCCTCTTGCCTCATTCTCTTGAGTGCTAGGATTACAGGTGTGCGCCGCCATGCCTGGCTGAGTTTTGATCATCATCTTTGACATGGGATACCTGTTCATTTATCTTTTATTGGTACTTTTTTTTTTTTATACTAGAAATTGAACTCAGGACCTTGTGCTTGCAAGGCAGACGGCAGCACCACTGCATTTATACTTTATCTAAAACATTTTCTTAATATGTGTATTCTGATTTTTGATAGACTCAAATTTCCTACTCTTAATAGAATTAGCAATTTCTGTTGCCATCATTAGGGTAGCAGAAAGTGATTCTTTTTCCATGCTGCATTGGCTGTTATTAGGCTTTTTGACTTTTGCTTGTTTGCTGTGTGAAAATAGTACTTTGTTTTGTTTTTTTTTTTTACTTATAAAGTCAAATATTCATGTGTTCTCTGAGTGTGAGAGAGAGACTGACTGAGACTGAATTACTCGTTCATATACTAGATTGGTTCTTCACTTGGGTTTTGTTGCCTTATGGGAATCTAATATATTTGGCTTTTTAAAACTTTCTAGCAAGATTTTAGAGCCACTACCTTTTTTACTTCATTCCTTTAAAAATCTTTTGTAATTCTCTTAAGGTAATATGCTTAACCTCTTTCTCTCTTTTCCATTAAGTTTATTGGTACATTTAAAGCAATACAGTTGCATTTATCATTGGGATCTTGTACCTTTGATGATAAATCCTGGTTCTTGTTTTTTCCCCATACCCCTGCCCTCCCTTCACCCACTTCACTCTTCCCTATTTACAAAAACTTTTAATTCCATTTTTCACATTTTTTATTTTCCCTTATTTCCTTTCCCCTCCCCTTCCCATTCTACTTTAGCCATTTTCTTCCTATTTCACATTCTCAATTATACCATTTGAATCTTATTTATACTTTTAGTTTTTCACACCAGAGAAACTAATCGGTATTTATTCAAGTGTGTCCTATTTATTTCACTGAAGAGTATAGCCTCACTGTACATCCATTTAGCTATAAATGTTTCTAGTTTCTCATTCTTTATGGCTGAGTAGTACTCCATTTTATAGAAAAACCACAGCTTCTTTATCCATTCTCTAGTTGATGGTCATTTGGGTTGTGTCCAAGTTTTATTATAAACTGTGCCACTATAAACATGGGTGTACATATTTCACATGGTATGATTCTTTTAATTCTTTTGGAAAGATACCTACCCAGCAGAGGGATAGCTGGGTGAAATGGAATAACCTCTCATTAAAAATAAAAATAACAGAAAACCTTTTTGGTACTAGGGATTGAATCCAGGGCCTTATGCATGGTAAACATGATCTTTACCAATAAGTTAGAGACCCAGGCCCTGTGTACCTAATATTTTTGAATACTGATTATGTCTGGGTACAGTATTAGGGTGCATGATCTTATGTGTATTACCTCATATGATGTTTAAAACAGCTCTTGGAGGATGGTGGCAGCAACCCTGATGATTAAAATCAGGAGAAGCAGAAAATGTATCATTTTAACCTTAAAAATTTATTTTTATTCCTGGCTTCCAAATACTGGTTTCTCCTGCTTTCTCACTGTCAAAATATTTAATTTTTTGGTTTGTTTGTTTTTTTTGAGACAGGAGGCTTGCTGTGTGGTCCAGGCTGGCCTCAAACTCGCCATGTAGCCCAGTCTGGCCTAGTTCTCATGGTGATCCTCCTCCAGCCTTCTGAATGCTGTGATTACCAGTGTATACCACCATGCCCAGTTGCACCTACAGATTTAATATATAGACTGATCAAAAAATATAGTGCGCATTTAAATTTTAAAAAGTTTTATTACACTAAAAGATGCATTGCCATTAATCTCTCTCAAAATACTCCTCGATTCAACCACATTTGTCTCATTGTTCTTGCTGCTTTCTGAAGCAGGCCTGAAACTGTTCTTTCATTGTGTCTTTATGGGGTAGATCAAAAATATGTTGAAAAATACGTTGAATTCTATTACCATGTCCCATCCAGTGGAAAGGCAGGTTTATAAAAACATGGTGGAGCCGGGTGTGGTGGTGCATGCCTGTAATCCCAGCACTCAGGAGGCTGAGGCAGGAGGATTGCTGTGAGTTCAAGACCAGCCTGGGCTACATAGTGAGTTCCAGGTCAGTCTCAAGTACATAGTGAGACCCTGTCTCAAAAAAGCAAAAAACAAAACAAAACCATTATGGTGGGCTGGGTATTTAGCTCAGTGGTTCTACCGCCTGCCTCACAAGTGCAAGGTCCTGAGTTTCATCCCGCTACCAAAAGAAAAAAAAAAAAAGATTATTGTCACCATATTCACCTAGTCTGTCACATTTTGATTTTTAGCTAGGGGAAGTATTTTAAGTGGGATTAATGGCAGTGTTGTTTGTACTGTAATGTATTTTAAAAATTAAATATTCATTGTACAGTTTACTCACACCTGATAGGGAAGGATGTAGAAAGCAAGCTATTGGAGGTCAAGTGGAAGACAGCACCTGGGTGCTTGTCAGCAGAGTGAGAACTAGTGTGGGGTGTTGGCAAATTCCTCCTGACCTCCTCTGAGGGTGCTGGCCTAGCCAGCATATGCTAGGCATGGCATCCTCAGGATCTCTGCCCCAGGGTGCTTGTTTTAAGGAGATAGATTTGTGTTCAATAATTGGGCCACAATGGTATTGGGCACGCATCATCTCATTGGGGCCTCTGTGCAATGTCACTGGTGCAGGTAACATTGCAGGATTCAGGATGCTTCTTACCTACATCATATGCTTGATATTTAATATCAAGCATCCAGTGAGTAGTTTACAAAATGATCTTATGTACCAGCCTTATATTTTATTTAGGGAAGTCGAATCTGTTTATTGTTCTAGACCTGCAAAGAAATGGGACAGTGCTGCTATCCAATACTTTCAGAACATCCTGAAAGGTAAGGCCAGTTTATTGTGTTCTCTGCTGGCTGCTTTGAACTGACACCCTTCTGTCAGGAGGAGGGTTTGAGATCCGCCTGCCCCACTCTTCCTCAGATGAATTTCATAAGTTACCTGAAGTCTCTTTCACTCCAGATGCCACCATGACTGCACCCCCTAGGACTTTGTGGGTGAATGTGGATGTCAGCAGTTGACAGCTGAAATTAGAAAGGGGCTGTTGGATAATAATCATTGCTAGATTAATATATACATGATGCCTGGCTATTTATGTAAATGACTATAAAATATAGTCCCTTTCCTAGGATCGGTCCTACCTTCTGGTAGTGGCCATTCCTCCCTCTTGAGTGGGTATGAGGTACCTGGGATGCCTCTGTTTGTTTGTTTTGTTTTTTGAGACAGGGTCTCGCTATGTAGTTGAAACTGACCAGGAACTCACTATGTAGCCCAGGCTGGTCTCAAACTCACAGCAATCCTTTTGCCTCAGCCTCCCGAGTGCTGGGATTAGAGGCGTGCGCCACCACGCCCGGCTTGGGATGCCTCTGTATATCCCGTTGGTCCTAGCTTCTCCTGGACTTTCCTGTTGTCTGGCTAAGGGAAAAACCCAATGTTTTGAACCTAGGAGATGTGGAAAATTGTGGAATGTCACTGGGTTTGCAGTCTGGGTCCTTGCATTAAAGGGTAATGGGAGATAAAAAATATGGTTGAGAGCAGTGGGGTGAACTATGACACATGCACCCTGGCTGTTTGTTGTCATTGAAAGCTCTAAAAGGTTAACTATCACAGGATTAGAGGAAGCAGACCACCTAGGGTTGAATTCTGCCCATCTCCTTCTGTGTAGCCTTGAACAAAGTGCTTAACTTTGTCTGAGCCAGACCTCTTCACCTGTAAAATGACAGCAGTACTTGCCTCAAAGGTTGAGGTAAAAATAAATGAAGTATGGCATATAAATGCCTTGGCACGGTGCCTGACAGATGCCCATAAATGGAGCTGCTGTTTGGGTCCTTAAGTCTCTGATACTGTAGCCTAGAAGTCTGGTACATAGGGCATTTGTGGGAAGAGGAGCACTGAGGTGAAAGGTTGTGACTGGAAGTTTGAATTTGAAAATAGAGAACCTAGAAAAGTACTTGAGGTTTTATTAGGGTGGAAGGAGCACCCTGTTGATGAGGACAAAAGATATGCATCCCATTCCAGTGAAGAGCCTTTTGTGTGGATCACTCATCCCTGCTGCTTTTATTATGGGAGCTTGAGGGAGCCATTGGCCATTCTGGCACTGGTTACTCTTTAAGTAGTTTGCAGAGGCTGGGGAATAATATTAATTGCTTTAAGTATGTGTTTAATACCTGCTCCTTTGTGCTTTCATTTATGCCTTTTAGCAGCTACCCAGGTGCAAGCCAAATTATGTGCTGTGGAAGACAATACTTTTGAAGTTTACCTTTATGTAACAATAAAAAACATGAAAGTAAGTGAAAGAATTGTATTTTTAAAATTATAATTATCTTGAATTTTGCTTTAATAATAAACCCTGAAGAAAACAATATGATTTACACAGAATAGAAATTGTTTTGGTTTTTTGAGACAGAGAGTCTCTTTGTAGTCTAGGATGGCCTCAAACTTGCATTCCTTTGACCTCAGCCTCCCAAGTGCTAGGATTATGGGTTCGTGTCACAGTGCCAGTCAGGAATTATTTTAATGTTTCAAGGTCTAGCTTAGATCAGACATTATTCATGATTCTGTTTCCATCTTAGGATTACTTAAAAATTACTTTAGCATTTTAGCAACATGGCATCTCATTTAGTAATTAAGAAATTATTCTTGTGGTGATGAGTATGAAATGTTTTCTTATGAAAGGACATAATTTCTAGGAATACATTCATCTGCTGTGGTTCACTGCTTTTTGAGATTTTCTAATTGTAATTTGTGATCACTGTAAAGAATTCAGCTGACTTAAGTGTAGAAAGAGAGGGGTATGACATATGAGAGCAGTCTGTCTCCCTCATTTTGGTTGCTGTACCATGCTGGCTGCTGTTCCTGAAGGGTGCTGCAAGGTACAACTCTGTGCACAGGGCACAGACCTAGGGGTGCCCAGAATCCACAAAAGGGCACCTTGCTAGGGCCTCCCTTCCTCCCTCCCTTTCTTGGGGTGTGGATGGACCACAGGGTCTCACACATGCTAAGCACACATTCTACCAATGAACTTCACTCCTATTCCCACCTAGGGATTTAAACTTTTTTGTTTTGAAATTTTAGACTCACAGAAGAGATGCAGAAAGAATGCATGTGCTTTACCAAGATTCCCCTAAGGCTGATTGTATAGAATCATAGTACAGTCATCAAAACCACAAAGTTAGGCCAGGGATTTAGCTCAGTGGTTCCTCTGCCTGCCTCTCAAGTGCAAGGACCTGAGTTTGATCCCTGGTACCAAATAAATAAATAAAAAACAAACCTTTAATGCCCTTAAAATTATTTTAAAAAAACACAAAGTGAACATTGATAGAATAACTGTTTTTAAAAATTCTCAGACCTTTATATGAGTATTGCCAGTTTCCCTGCTACTTTTCCTTTTTCTAGTCTAAGAGCTGATCCAGAACACAACACTGTTTCTGGCTGTCATGTTTCCTTTGTCTTCTCTAGCCTGGCGCTGTCCTCAGTCTTCCCTCACCTTTCATTTCCTTGACACTTCTGAAAGTTTTGGCTGGCTGTCCTGTGGGATGCTGCTCAAGTTGCCTGCCCCTGATGTTTGCTCTTGATTAATTGAGGTGGAGCATTTTGAGAATGCTCCAGAAGCCATAATGTCTCCTCTCAGTGCATCCCTATGGGGCATGCATGTTGGGAGTAGACAACTGCTAGTGATTATTTAAGTTGCTCACTTGGTTAATGTAGTGTTGCTAGGTCTTTCCTGTTCAAAGATGCTAGTTTTTTTCTTTTGAAATTAATTGTAGGAAAATATTTTGAGACTGTGCAAATATCTATGGATGGTTCTGACTGGGCATGTTCCAGCCTCAAGAAGCTGAGGCAGGAGAATTGGCTGTGAGCTTGAGGCCAGCCTGGACTGTGTAGTAAGTTCAAGGCAAGCCTGAATTACATAGACTTTATCTCAAACAAAGAAAAATGTTAGTACTGTGATGTTGGCCTGTTTCCATCAATCTTTCTGTGTTTTTAATTGGAATTCTTCTGTAACAAAGACCTTTCCCTCCTCCTCCATTTAAGTTATTCACAACTTAGTGGGCCAGAGATGTAGCTCAGCAGCACCACACCTGTCTTGTAAGCACAAGGTCCTGTGTTTGATCCCTAGTACAAGAAAAAAAAAGTTATTCCCTCTTAAATTAGTATGGAGTTGGGTTGTTTTATTTGGAGAATATGATCCATTACTGTTATTGTCTCAGCTGTGGGCCATTAGGAATTTCTTCACAGTGGCTCACATGTCCTTTCAAAGTGCCCATCATTTTTTAACCCTCCCTACTTTCTGGTGCTACAGGATAATTTTGTCATTTTCTAACCCTAGCCCTGGAATCCTCCACTTCTTCAAGAAACTCTGGCCCCTTTTGTTAAAGAGTATAAGATGAGGGCACTGTATGTGCTTGTTTTTATAAAGTATCATGGAGAGCCTGATTTCTCAACAGAGTTACTCTGTACACCACTTAGACCACGGCCATCCATGCCTGCCAGAGCGCTGACCCCTTCCTCTAACCAGTGTCCATTCTGACCCTCATTTTTCCTTATTTTCAACACCCTTTCCCAGTATTGAGAAATCCCCTCTTGTTAGTCACAGTATGTTTGTTTGCTCTATCTTAGTGTTCACATCATTTCAAAATTGCTAGTGCACATTGCTATGGAAAAGAATTCTCTAGTCTTACATTATACAGCTAAAATACTGTTCTCACAGTTGCTCAGGTTAGTTTTTCTCTTTCCCACTCTTTTATTGTGATTATTATTCTTTTGTAGTAAGGCTCATTTGACACTAAATGTTGCATTTTGGATTCTTTACATCCTGGTTGATTTTACCTATGACTCTTCACTGCTTATTTTGCATATTGGTAAAAATACTAAAGAGTTGTCTATAGGACCAGTTTTGTAAAACATCTCTTCTAAAATAAATTCTCTACTGACTTGTTTTCCTCTTTTGAAAAATTAGGTTCCTCTTAGGGCCAGGGATTTAGCTTGGTGGTGCCACTGCCTACCTCAAAAGCTCAAGGTCCCAAGTTTGATCCCTAGTACCAAAAAAGAGAAAAGAAAACAATTAGGTTCCTCTTTCTTACCATGTTGGTTGGGTGACTTACATTTATTTCATGGTGGTGCAGTGTAGAAGTTAGAGAGGTCCATGCTTATCTGAGTGAGAACTTACATGGGTCATAATTGCCAGAAGATTAGGGCTACCTCCCAAAAGGGAGTACAAAGATGTATCTTAGGGTGTTCTCATTTTTGGCCTGGTTCCTTTAAGCAAAATTAGATACATCCATGTTGCTGCTTGTATCAGTGATTCATTTCTTTTACTGTCAAGAGTTTTATGTAGATATAGTAGGGTATATTTATCTATTCTCACTGAATGTATATATATATTTTTAGGTATTATAAAATTATGTAAACTGACCTTTTATTATAAACATAGTGAAAGTTTTAATTTGTATCATCTCTCCAGAAAAGTGTGTTCTGCCTCTTACAGTCTTTAGGCAGTACAGACATTCTGATGGTACAGAGAATGATTCACAAACATTTCATTAAACCTTGTTAGAGTGTACAAAGACATGATAGAAACCAGAGTCCCTCCAGTACTTTTTTTTTTTTGGTACCAGGGATTGAACTCGGGTCCTTGCGCTTGCAGGGCAGGCCACCAAACCGCTGAGCTAAATCCCCAGCCCTGCAGTACATTTTTAAATCAGATTTTTTGGTCAAGTTTAAGTTATAAACAGCAAGAATTACAGAGTAGTAAATGAATACCTGCATTTAATTTTTCAAAGCAAAAATGGTTCATTTTATGTTTTCCTCACTTTGTTTTATCCTTCTCCAAAACATTTTAAAAGCAAAAGTTAAAGATTTCTCCATAGGAGTGAAATTTTGGTAATCTTTTGTGCTCTGAAGAAACTGTAAAAAGCAGCACTTGAGTAGTGGTTACCTTACAAACATGTATTCCATGGCCACAGCCGAACTCAGCTTGTCAGAGGAACTGGCTCACAGTGCAGTGCTCTGACAAAAAGAAACGCATTGAGCAGGCGGAATCCAGCCCAGGGCTGCCAAGGTCTTTCTTGCAGCAAAACAAGGGTATCAAACAGGGGGCTCTCCTTGCAGAATCCAAACTGGTCCTGATTACAAGCAGGTCATGCCCAATATCCTTAATGACCCTCCACCACCTCATCACTTCAAAACACAACACACAGGCTTTAATGTCAGAAAAGTAGTTATACATTAATGGATCACTGTTATACATTAAAGCTAACACAGTTACATTAGCAAAAAGAATGATGAAGTGTAAATTTTTCTTAGGTTGTTAATGACATTGTACATTAAGGTTAGGGATCAACTTATTTCCTAGAAGTGAAACATAATCCATGTCATCTAATGCAATTTAAACACTATCTTAAAAAGCTGTGAAAGAAAAAACTCAAGCCCGTTATTTGTAATATAAATAAATCTATGTAGAATTGACATATTTTCCAATAAGTGAAGTAATTTAACCACTTGCAAAGTTCCCATTTTAAGCAATGAAAGGCAGAAACAAAGGGATCCCACAGAATTGTACCCTAAAAATAAGTTGGTAAGTTTTATGTCTATTTTACAAGAATTAAAAAAATTTTAATGCTGGTACCTTGTTGATTACTTAGTTGCATGTTCTTTTAATCAGATTACTTACATAAGAAAAAAATTACTTCTCTTTTTGTATCTTGACATTCGAGGGCTCAGTACCAGATCCCTACATCTGCAGACAGAGAGCCAAATAAAGATCCAACATACTGTTTAAATACCTCCCTCTCCCCAAGTTTAGACAGAGTCAGGGGAGAGAATTGTTCAAGGAATTATAAAAAGAAACACCGGGGGAGAACCATTGCTTTTTATTTTTGAATTTTTGGTGTATTTAGTGGAATATATTAATCATATAAACCAAAAGATAATTTCTTAAGTAGTTGGAATAAGGAAAAATATCCCAACCACCAATTTTTGGGTTGTCTTTCTCCTTCCCTCACTTAGAATCACCCTAACTCCCTAGCATGCCCTCACTATATAATAATAAGGACACCATAATCTCATGCTAAGCTTGACCATGTTAGGATCGCACCAGAGATTGCTCATTGGGCATGAACTCCAGAGCTGAGGTGCCCTGATCAAGCCCACACCCCTCTATAGAAGCGGGGGTGTCCTCTCTCCTGCATACTGCTCCTTCTGGAAGAACTCTTTGATCTGGGTTAATCGGCCATAAAGCCTTTCTCTCAATGAAGGGTTGTGGTAGCTGGGATCCAGAATGTCCGTTACTCAGAGCTCGCTCCTCTCTCTCCCCCACTTCCTCTCTACACTTGTATGGATGAGGAGGGAAAAAAGTGATCACCCTCTTTCTCTTTGTATCTTTAATGCAATTCCGCTTACAGCCAGCATCCCCCATACTGCCAGGATAATAAAATCATTAGTTTGAAAAGGCACATTTGTAAAAGCTCTGTGAAAATCTGTGTTGAGTGCTTTCCTGAGAGTGATGTACTTGTGTACTTGTAACTGTCAACCACCAAAACCACCGAGTAGGAGCTAATGACTCTGCAGGTCAGGATGTTGAGTATTAGGCAGCCCAAGAAAACTCCTGGAACAAAGACAGTGACACAAGAGAAAGTCACCCAAAACACATCACGAAAAACCTTTTAATTTCCCAGAGGAGTGAAGAAAGCTGCAGCAGAGAGGAGGAAGCCCAATATGAGCCCAGCACACAGCAGGCATGGCCCGAGGATCCCAGATAGCCAGCAGATGGCCAGTAGGAGAGCTCTGCTGATGCTTCCAGCTGTGGCTGTCAGGATCAGTCAGACATCATACTTAATAAATATCACTCTTGTAATCAGTGTGTAAAAGGATCCCATGAAGATCAACCCTATGAAGAGTAATTCTGTTTTCTAGAATCTGTGTCCAAAGAAACGAAGAGACCAAGCTAGGCAAAAAGTGAAGAACACTTTGGTAGATACTTTTCCAAAGGAAACACAACTATGCTCCAGTGCCTCAAATTTGCAAGCGTACGTGTGAGCAGGAATAAGCAACAGACATATTTAGGAGCGGGTCCCAAACAATGACTTTATAAACGACCCCTTGTCCAGGTAGGGAGAAGAAGGAAACACTGTCTTATCATTAGCTATTAGGGTAACCACCTTCATGGCATTGGCCTTCACCTGGGCCATTCTCTGTAGATGCTGCAGCAGCACATCTTCTGTGAGGTCATTCTTGGGCAGAAAATACACATACTGCAACCTCCATCTACTCTCCTGGCCCATCCCAACATCACTCCGCAGGGGAGGTGTGTGTCTCAAATAGCCTAGGTTTACTGGGGCAAGTTTGATAGTCATTTCAAAGAAATTATACTCCAAGTAATATTGGGATCAATATCTAAATGAAACTCCAAATTACAGCCTCCGGGGATAGGATCTCTTTCTGAGTAGGAAAGCAGAATGGCCACACTTTGGACAGGGTTTCCATCTACAGACTCCAGATACTAAATGCACATACTCTGCTCTGGTCCCGGAATGGAAACCATTCCTTTGTCATTCATTGCCTGTTCCTGAACTAAGAAGGAGAGTAGTTCTGGAGCCTGGAAGTCTGAGATCAGAGGGCCAGCATGGTCAAGTTCAGGTGAGGGTCACCTGGGCTTTACACTATCATCTTCTAGCTATGTCTTCATGTGGCAGCTGATGTATATTTGGCTTGTCAATTTGGGGCTATTGCTAATATTCACATAAAAATTTTCCTGTGGACCTATGTTCGTTTTTCTTCAGTAAGAAGAAAACTTCTGTGTGGTATTTTAGGTACTAGGAAACTGCTGTATTGTTTTCTAACATGGTTGACTATTTTATGTTTTCATCAGCAATGTATGAAACTTCCAATTCTTCCATGTCCTCTTTGTCTTTTAGAGGTTTTTTTTGAGACAGGGTCTTACTATGCAGTCTAGACCAGCCTTCAACTTGCTCTGTAACCCAGGCTGACATTGAATTTATGGTCTTTCTGCCTCAGCTTCTTGAGGCTTGAATTACAGCATTCTAACTCTTGTATGATTATTCCAGTAAATGTGTAGTGGTATTTCTTTGTGCATTAGATTTGCATTTGCCAAATGACAAATGATGCCTTATGCTTATACAATTCATAATGTCTTTTGTGAAGTATTCATGTTTTGCCTATTTTTTTCATCACTATGTTTTCTTTTTACTGACTTCTGAGACTTCTTTATTGTGGATATAGTCTACAACTACTTGATTTAAAAGTGTCTCTCTCCGGATCTTTGCCTGGCCAGGCTCTGTGAGCCCTCCATATCATCAGCAAGATGTTTCTTTTTTTTTTTCATACAGGTCCCTGCCGTTTCATCAGTATGAGGGTTGGTGAAAAGTCTTTAGCTCACTGTTACCATAGCAGAAGTCAAGAGATCTATTTCTATCAGATTATGTTATATAAAATAATTTTCTAAAGATGGAAATTCAGGGTTAAGTTTGGAATATTTACAGTCTCTTGACCATGCTCATCCATGAAATGTTTTAACATTTTTCAGGTTTGTGTTAATGATGACCTAGTTGCAAAGAACTTTGCCTGTTATGCATCACCCACGAAAAATGAACACCTTAATTTAGAGAAAGCAAAATTCAGAATGAAGTCAGAATCCTTTTCCAGTAAACTCAATCCTGCACTTACTCTTTGGCCAATGCTTCTGAAAAGGAAAGATTTTCAAGGAACGAAAAGTGAGTGGATCCTCACCAATATATATTTCATTTAAAATGTTTTGTTTTTAATATTAGCATGTTGTTAGAAGGTGGTATATAAACTTTTCCCTATATGGAGGAAGAGACTTGGACTCTCCTTAACAATTAAAGTTTAATCTTGACTAACATGTGGCAAGTTTTATGATCCTAAAGCTTCTACAGTTAGTTTTTAAGAAAACTTGTCAATTTCTTAATAACGTTGAAATACATTTTTAGATATCTAGATGTTTGTAGTTTAAAGATTTTTACCAAAGTAGGATTTTGAACACTCACTCATTCATTCATTCATTCATTCATTTATTTATTTATTTAAGACAAGATCTCACTATTCAATTCAGGTTGGCCTTGAACTCACTGTGTAGCCCAGGCTGGCCTAGAATTGGTGGCAATCTGCTTGCTTCAGCCTTCCACGTCCTGGGATTACAGGTGTGCACCACCACACCTGGCTTGGTTTTTATATACTTTTAATAAGAGCTATTTATTGCAAATGATCCTAGCATGTAAGTGTGAGAAAGGTTAGTCATGGACCATGGAAAACAATTTTAAGTGTTCCTCTCTGCTTCCAGATTTTAGTCTCCTCACATACTGCTGCCCTTTTGTTGGGGCTTAACTTTATAGTAAACAAGAGCAGAAGAACTATATTAACAAACTCACCTTTTTATTTTGCTTTTTGTTTTGTGATTTGATTTTGAAATTTGTTCTTTCAGAGTCACATGGTTTAGATTTTCTGACACAGTCTCTCCAGCACACATGGTGCAAGGGTGTTGTTAGTGACCTTAAGCCAGCTGCTGCAGTACTGGGTGAGTCCTGCTATTTTGGTTCATCTATTTATTTATTTTGGTGCTGGGGATTGAATCTAGGCCTCACATGTGCTACCATTGAACTACACCTGCAGCCCCTTAACAGCCTAGGAATTATAAAGTTAGCTGTTTAAAAGGGCTATGGTAATTCTCTCTCCATGGCTTCTTTTCTTTTTTTTTTGGTCCTGGTGATTGAACTCGGGTCCTTGTGCTTGCAAGGCAGGACACCGAACCACTGAGCTAAATCCCTGGCCCTTCTTTTCTTAATATAATGGACTAATTTATGAAAAAAGACTGATAGTGATCATTAACCCTGCAGTCTGCACTTAGAGATTTTATGATGTAAAGAGTGTAACAAGCTTGTGAGCAAATGTAATACATGCCTGTAGTCCCAGCTGTTTGACAGGCTGAGGCAGGTGGATCCCTTGAGCTTAGAAATTCCGGGCCAGCTGGGAAATACGGCAAGACCCATTTCAAAAAAGGAAAGAAGAGGAAGAAGGGGAAGATGGGAAAGGAAGATGGGTGAATGACTCAATATGGATTAGGGATAAAAGAGTTCATTATGTCATACACACTAGTAGCATCTAAAATGATTCAGACTCAAATAGAATCCATAAAATTGTTTTAAAATTTGGATATAAGAGCCAGGTGTGTGGCATGTGCCTGTAGTTCCAGCATTGTCTTGACTTATAGGACAGGTGAGTTCTAACACCCCAAACCACATTTGCTCACTCATTAGATATTTATGAAACACTTACTGTGTACCAGGTACTGTTCTAGGGGCTCATCAGGGAGGGACCAAAGTCTCTGCTTTTGTGAAGCTTCTCTCTCTCTCTCCCTCTCTCTTTCTTTTTTTTTGGTACCAGGGATCAAACTTGAGACTTTGCACTTGCAAAGTAGGCCTCACAACCACTGCTCTAAATCCCCAGTCCTTTATCCATCTTTTTAATAAAATTGTTTTCTTTTTCTTTTGTGATTCTGGGGATTGAACCCATGGGCTCATGGTAGGCAAGTGCTTTACCACTGAGTTTTTTTGTTTTTGTTTTTTTCTGGTACTGGGGATTGAACTTGGGATCTTGTGCTTGTGAGGCAGGCAGCATTCAACCACTGAGCTGAATCCCCGGCCCACCACTCAGCTTTTTGCAGCCCTGGTGTGTTTTTTGTCACTGGGATTTTATTGTTCCCAGGTACTGACAGTGGACAGAGCTAGAGGCTGTGTATGTATATGTATGCATATGTACACGTACATTTGTGTCTTACATCTATGTACGAAAACCGGGAGTGTGAGTATGTGTGTGCACATTTATATCTTTCTATACATATTTTGAGAACAAGGAATCTGTACCAATATATACTTTGATTTGTGATTACTGCTGAATTGAGTCTAGTTTTCTGCTTTTCCTGATTTCTAACTCCTTTCTCTGTGAGGCTCATCTCTCATTATCTTTAATAAATTATTGGGGCAGTCTCCTTTATGTTACCATTCTTTCTGGTTTCCTCACTATCCAGTCTTCGTCACTCTTTTTATTCCTTCTGCACTGACATACTCCTCTGACTGGGAATATCTAATGCCTCCTACCAGGGTCACCTCCAGGGACTTCCTCATTTCACTAGAGATGGGACACCACTTTTCTCACTCTGCCTGGCTCTGTATTCCATATGGGGTTGTTCCTTCCTCCGAGCCTGTCACACTTTTTTTTTGTAAAAAAAAAAAAAAAAATATATATATATATATATATACATATATACATATGTATATACAAATAATATAGTAGTTCTTGACACACACATTAAGCACTAAGTAAATGCTGGCTTTTACTACTAATGTTATTGCACTACTCATTTATTTTTCTTTTTTAAGTATATACTTTAGTTCATTTAGTAGAGGACTTGTAGTATGTGTTAAGATATGGTAATAATTAAGCTGAATAGTACTCAGGTTCTTAGTTACTCTCCTTCAGCATTGAATATAGTACTTAATATTCCATTAAATCTGTTAGTCTTTCTTTGTAAGTAATTGGTGTATTCTCTTGATGACTTTTTGGATTTTTCTCTTTTTCCTTGATATCCTGCAGTTTTTTACAGTGTATCTTGAAGTGGATGGTGCAAAATGTATCCTGTTGACATTTAGTATTTTTCAATTACAAAATTCATGTATGACTTACTTGTTTCTCGAAAGTATATGCCAACATTTTATAAGATTTTTTTCCTTCATCCTTTCCTCTTTTTCCTGAATTTTTTAGTCAGATTCTCCATGTCATCTTTTTTTATAACTTTGTCTATTTTATCTCCCTCAGTTGATTTCTGAGAGATTTTCTTTTTGTTTTTGAGATGGGGCCTTGCTATATTGCCCAGGCTGGCCTCTCTTGGGCTCAAGGGATACCCCCATCTCAGCCTTTTGTGTAGCTGGGACTACCGATGCACACCACCCTGGCAACCTGAGACGTTTTCTTAATTTTTCAATTTACCATTTTTTCTTTGTTTCTATTACTCTTTATCTTTTGAGTTTTCAACTTAATGCCTGTTTCATATTGCTTAGAGTTCTAATTGGCTCTCTTTTGTTTTGAGTCAGTCTCACGATGTGTAATTAGTTCACACTGGCCTCAGACTCATGGCAATCCTCCTGTTTCAGCTTCCCAAATGCTGGGATTACAGGCATTGCCACTATGCCTGGCTCTAATTGGTTCTTTTTCATATCTTCCTATCTTTATATATCTACTTCTTTTGGTTCATTATTACTATTTTTTGTTAGTATATATTTGCCATATATAATGATCACATTTTTCATAGGGAATTTTTACTAAGTACTATTCTTTATCTTTTGGATATTTAATTTTAAAAATCTTACTAGTATGTTTGTAGTACATAATGTTAACATTCCTTGTTTTTTGTTTGTTTGTTTTTTTTGAGGCAGGTTATTACTATGTTGTTCAGGCTGACCTTAAAATCACTATGTAGCTCAGGCTGGCCTCAAACTTGTGGTGATCCTCTTGCCTCAGCCTTTCAAGTGCTAGGATTATAGGTGTGTGGCTTTCAGGCTATTTTTTAGTCCCCCCCCCTTTTATCATTTATAATGGCACTGAAATACTTTGTGATTTTTATTTGTCTTTGTAAAATTTGTATTAGTACATGTTTACAGTACATAATGAATATATTCATTGTGGGGAGTTACTATATGTATATAACGAAAGAGTTTCTCTTGTGTGGACATTTTCTCTTAGCAAACTTCAACTACTACCTCCATTTCTAGCTCCAGATCAAAGTTTTTGTATGGTTGGTTTGAAGGTTGCCCGAAGAGATAATACAATTCTAGGCCAAAGACCGAATAATTCAGTACTTTAAGGAGGGATTAGGCAAGTTTATAGTGCCACACATTTCTGGTATTAGCTGTTACTTTAGTGATTTGTATTGCTTAATGAATGAAAGTTGTGTATTTCTCTAATAGTTATAGTGAGCTCTTCTAGAGTTGTTTCAGTAGTTCTCTATTAACTGATCACGGAGTTGTTTTTTTCCTTGAAGTCATGTCTTAGTTTTTACCCAAATGTTTAAATTACTCAGCCTGATTATCTGTATTATTCAACAGACAACTTTTGTCACTTTCAGGCCTAAAGAATTAGTATATTTGAAAGAGTCTGCTGTAGAATTTTTTAAAATTTTCTTTGTTTGATTTCTTTTTCTTTTTGCTTTAGAATTTTGATACCTACAGGGTTGTTTAAATTCAGTCCATATTTTAGTACCTTCTGGTTTTTTGGTTTTTTTTTTTTTTTTTGATACTGTGGCTCAAACTCAGGACCTTGTGCTTGTAAGGCAGGTGGTGGCACCACTGAGCTAAATCCCTGGCCCTTCTGTATGTTTGTTTTTTCTTTTCATTTTTGTTTTGTTTGTTTTCCTGGTGCCAGCACTGGGGATCAAACTCAGGACCTTTCACTTGCAAGACAGACGCAGCACCACTGAGCTAAATCCCTGGCCCCCTTCTGTATGTGTTGTTCAATTAAGAAATGAGATGTACAACAGTGCATCAAAACCATGGCTAACACTGGTTGGTACTCGGTTACTATTAACAGATAGCACATCTTCCAAAACTTGTGATGTGAAACAGTAACTTCTGTAACTCTAGTGGATTCACAATGGGCACAGGAGGAGTGTTTGTTGCTATCTCAGCGTGTGGGATCTCAGCTGGGAAGATGTAAAGGCTGGTGTAACTAGCCAAGTTGGATTCTTCTGAAGACATCTGCAGTCACATTTGTGGCAGATGATGCTTGCTTTTGTGTGGGACCTTGGTTGGGTCTGTCACCCAGAATCCCACCATGGCCCTGCCATGTGGTTGCTTGGGCTTCTTTGCAGCATGGCACCTGGGCTTCAGAGGTGCATATTCCAGAGAGCAAGTCAGCAATATGTTGTGTTTGTATATTGTAACCTTTAGAGTCACATCACATCACATCACCTCCGCCTTGTTTACAATCCCACTCAGGTTCAGGCAGAAGAAATACAGATTGCATCTCAGTGGGGGTCACAGTCCCATTGTAGAAGTACATGTGTGAGGGAGACACAGTTGTGGCCTTTGGGAAATACAGCCTGCCAAGTTGGGAAAATAAATTAGGTTTTATTCTTGGTGAGCTGGTATGGGAATTTTTAGAGCTTTAACAAAAGGTTGAAACAAGATTTTAAAATTTAATCTCCTTAAGTAAAGTTTAATATACAACCCTATTTCACAATAATTTCATGTAGTAAGATTATATAGTGGTATTTATTTGTATTACATTTTTGTCCTGTTTCCTATCAGCATTTTTCAAGGCAGTTTATTATTTTATCTTGCAGATAAAGCTGTAAAATGGAATATGGGTTCATTGATAGACTCACCTAAAAAGAAATCTGAACAGCAGCAGCATGTCTCTTTAAAAGATGTAAATAAGGTTGTATTTTTTGTATTCATTAAATACAAAGTTCATATAATGTTAGCATTCTTTTATTAAGAACCAAAGTATATTTCAACTAAAAATATTCGGCTATGTTTTTTTTTTTTTTTTGGTTTTGTTTTTTTTGTACTGGGGATCAAACTCAGGTCCTTGAGCTTGTGAGGCAGGTGGTAGAACCACTGAGCTAAATCCCTGGCCCTGGTAGTTTTATTTGTGAAAAAACATACTTTACATGTTTGTTTATTTTGCAAGAACAAGGGAATTGCAGCCACTCTTTTGTCAAACTCTTGGTTTTTGTGAGTAATAGTCTCTCTATAAAATCAGGGATTTATCATCATTTTAATAAAGATGAGAAAATCTGGGATTTGGGGGCACTCTAATTCTAAATTGCCTTCCCTTTAGTTGCATAAGACAGGTGAAAGTAATTGTAGGACATGTTAAACTAATTATCTGAAATACCAGCTGCCTGCTATTTGGACATTTCAGTTTAGTGATTTATAGTCATAGCATAATCATCCAGCTTGCCAGCTCTTTGTCTCTTTTCTGTATGTACGTGAAAATTTTCCTGGAATGGTTGTTTATGACAATTTCCATAGAATTTTGGTTCCAAAAGAATATATAACTTGTTAAACATACATATTCTTTCTGAATATTTTTTATAGTGTGAATCTCCAGCTTACTGGCCAACAAAGAGAGGCATAACCATATATGCTGATCCAGATGTACTGGCAGCAAGGTATGATTTGAAAATTCAGTGTGATTCAGTGGAACCTCAGGTGTAATACATGGCCTTATATGAGATGTCATCCCCTGGTATCTTTGAAGGATTGATACCATGATCTGGAGAATACCAAAATCTGCATAGCAGCTCAAGTCTTGTGCATAGAATGGTACAGTGTATCTGTCCATGTACTTTAAAATAATCTCCACGCTACTTATAATGCCTAATACATTGTCAATGCTACATAAATAAATGTTGTTTAGAGATTAACGACAAGAAAAAAAAAGGCCTATACATATTTTTCTCATATATTTTCAATTGGAAGTTGAATGGTATGGAGCCCACAGATATGAAGGGTCAACTGTACATGATTCTGTATTCTAAAAAGTGGGAAAGTATTCCATTTCAATAGAGGGTGACCCAGGAAGTTTGACTGATTACATATTTAAAGGAAAAATCTTGTGACAGCTGGTTAGCAGCACAGTGGATTGAAAACTGGCAGTGGCTCTCCTTGTTACCTTGGTGGGCAAAATTGTTTTTGTAAGTTAGGCCCAATGAAGGCGGGTACAAGTGAGCGTGACATGAAGGATGGATAAGTGGACCAGTGGCAGTGCATTCAGCAGCTGAGTGTGCTGTTAGGAGATGAGGCGTGGCTGGAAGTGGCAGGTCTCTCCCCTTTTCCTCCCTCTGCTTCCTGATTGATGTGACTTGAGCAGCTTCCTTCTGCAGACCCTTGTACCATGTCTTCCTGCCCTGGGGCCAGCCAGCTGTAGACTGACTCCTCTGAAATCTCTGAATAAAGATCATCCTCTCCCCTTAAGTTGTGGGTATCAGGTATTGTGTTTCAGCAGTGACAAAGTGACTGAGATACTAGTTGATAGAAAGCAAAGAATGGTTTGTTGTCATCTTCAGAAACTCAACTATACACTGTCCTCATTGAGATGCATATCAGTGACTTTAATAAAATCACATGAAAGATGCATGTACTCTTCATGTATAGAGTAAGAGCTCAAAATGAGATACTTCTGTTTCCTCCTGGACTTTATGCTATGGTTATTATGTTTATTTGTTGTATTTATTTATTTGTTTGTTTTTGTTTTTGGTACCAGGGATCGAATATTTATTGTATTTATACATGTTAAAAATGTTTAGACTCTATTATCACTCTATTTAAATAATTTACTTTTAAAAGATTGAAATAATAAGAGCCCCATATATTTGCCTCTGTAGTTACACTTTTGGTGTAGGTGCACATTCCCATCGGATACCACTTTCCTTCTGCATAAAGGGCCTACTTTAGCACTTATGTTGGAGATCTGCTGGGGATAAGCTCATTCACTTTTTGTATGTCTGAAAAATTACTCATTTTAGCTTCATTTTTGAAGGTTTTTCTATCTATAGAATTAGTACTTTGTTCTATATAAAGATATTGCTGCACTGTCTTCTTGCATTTTTCTTGGTGGGAAGTCTGTTAATCTTTTTCTTTGTCTCTCAATAAGCAGTGTGTCTTTCCTTTTACTGCTTTTAAGATTCTCTTAATTATTGATTTGAGCAAATATATGTCCAGTTTA